CCCAACCATGTTATGGACATTTTGTGTCGATAACTGTAAAATGATCGCGGCCAAAGTTCTGATAGACGTCTCCAATACCTCCTCCTCCTCCTCCACTCAATTATTATTCTTTCACCCCATCTTCCTTCTTTCTTTTGTTCCTCTTATACCTCCCCCCCTCCCTTTATCCCCCCGCCTGTCTCCTTCACTCCCTTCCATTACCTGTCTCTCACACGGTTCTCTTCTAACCTTTTTCTTCTGCATGTTTTTGTAGTGTGTTCAGCCGCTCTTCTCCCTCGTTCTCCTCCTTTTCCTTCTTTACCCTGCTTTGCCTCTCTCCTTTCTGGTAGACATTTTTCTTATTTTTATCCTCGTTTTCGGAGTTGTGTTTAATAAATATATTTTCCCATTACTCATTGTTCTTTGTTCGTCTACTTGACTTATCTGTTCCTTTTCTCTTTCATCCCCCTTTTCTCCTGACTTCCTTCTCCCTTACTCCATTCCGTTCCTTTCTCCCGCTTTCCAAGCTCAGGCGTCTATCATTAAGAGGAAAGCTTGGTGAAAGGAGATGCTCTCCTTGGACCCTTTGGGATAGAGGGGGGGGGGGAAGGGGGCGATTGGGGAGGGGGTAAAGGGGGGACTGGGGAGGGGAAAAGAGACAGTCATTAGCCTGGCCAAAGGTGGCCAGGCTATAGAGTAAAAGGAATGGTCGAGTGGACAGGATTTAACGGCAGGATAGGGACTGCAGGAGGATGAAGTGGGCAGCTGGGACGGCAGGTCACGCTGCAGGTGGTACTGGGAATAGATCAGTGTAATACTAGGAATAGATCAAGGTGGTACTCGGGCACGCTGTATACTTTCCTGTATAAATATATCAAATATATATTTGATATAAATATACCATATATATATTTCAAAATATATATAAGCTTGATAGATTTGGTTTCCCTTTGGCAAGTGCCTAAGGGAAACTAGGGGGAAGTTCATGTTATGTGGAATAGGATAGTGCTCCCTGTTTTCCTCTCTTTCTACTCTCACTCACTCACTCACTCACTCTCCCTTCCTCTCCGGCAGACTTCGACCTGGACAACGAGGCAGATGAGATCGGGTTCATGATCAAGCGGATCAAAGTCCACACGCGGGAGGCGCTGAAGGACCCGTCCTACCGCTTCCCTGGCAACTACGGTGTTGAGAAGTTCCTCGAACTCTTCTCCGAGGAGGACTACGACGCCTTCTGCCTCGCTTACATGTTCACCTACAGGCAAGTCCTTCCAGTAGCCATTCACATGGGATCGTTTCTGGGGGGTGTTTTTGTGATTATTGCCACACCACCTACACCTGCCACACACCACCTACACCTGCCACACACCACCTACACCTGCCACACCATCTACACCTGCAGACTCTCGTCTAGCTTTACCCTCCTGCTGTCTCCCACAGGGACTTCGAAGGCGGGACTCTGGGCCTGGCGTGGACAGGCGACCTGAAGAACGCCGGCGGAGTCTGCGAGAAGAACGGCCACTACCGCGGGAGCCTCAAGGTATGCTGCCGGGGGTGGGTGCACTTGAAGGGAACTGGACATACGAGGGTGTGTGTGCAAGTGGTTGTGCATACAGGCGCGAGAGTGGATGATAGTGGAGGAAATATCCAGGTAGGGGGACTGGTGGGGGCAGATGAAGATAAACTCTCAACTGCTGGAACATGAACGTCACCGGGTGAGTGACTCTGGTCTGGAAATGTAACTGTGAATAATAGTTTGCACTCTGTCACGACATTTATCTTGCTATACGCAGGACGTAAGCGTAAAAGTCCAGGAATTTACCATATTGTTTTGCAAGCGTTATTGTCCAACTACTTGGACTGGGCGGTACAGCGACGATCTCGCTTACTGCGTGTCAGTGTTCGATAACCCCCCGACCGTCCAAGGGGTTGGGCACCATTCCTTACCTCCGTCCTTTCCCAGCTCCTGGTCCTCATATCCCTTCCAAGTGCTGTTGCAACCCGTTCTCGCAAATTCGTAAAGTCAATATTGACTTATTAACTACGTGCATAGGTGATATACTAAACATAATAGATACCCTTAAAAAGATTCATAGAAAACACCGACCTTACCTAACCTTGTTAGTATCTTAAGATAAGCATCTTATTGCTTCGTAATTACAATTATTACTTAACCTATACCTATTATAGGTTAGGTAATAATTGTAATTACGAAGCAATAAGATGCTTATCTTAACATACTAAGTAGGTTAGGTAAGGTCTGTGTTTTCTATGAATCTTTTTAAGGGTATCTATTATGTTAAGTATGTCACCTATGCACATATTTAATAAGTCAATATTGACTTATTAAATTTGCGAGAACGGGTTGCTCTATAGTCGTACTGGCTTAGCACTTTCTCCTGAACACCCTTACCTTGGTAGCGTCACTTCATGGTGTGTTAAACAAGTCGAAGCTTCTTGTACCCAGACGGCCGGTGAACTATTGAGGCTTCCAAGAGTATAACAAAATTCATCTTTCAAGGACAATTATGTTCATCTGGTTATTATAAACAATAACTTTACAAAAATGTTATTACTGACAAAGCAGCAATGATTGGGGAAAGATCTTTTGAAAATAAAAATGGGCCAAGTTTTACAACCCAAAAATACATTTCTATTTATAATTTGACACACACACACTGTATGCCAGAGCCAGGAGTGCAGGGGGTGACTATTTTAAAATATTAACAAGACGCCTGAGATTGATGCACTGTAAGTAGCGATTCACTACCTGGCTAGAGTGCTAAGATGGTTGGGTAATTAAGAGAAAGCTCTAAGTCAGTGTGACTACGCAACACTTGCAAGGGCTCTGAGAACAGCCTAGGAACTGGAATATGAAGACTGAGTAGTGGAGCATTGGCCCAACCACTTGGAACATCGGGGGATCGAACACCAGCCTTGCAAGAAGCGAGTCTGTCGTTCTACCGACCAGTCCATGTGGATGGGCACTGAGTGCCAAAGAGCTGACGTACACAGGCCTCGCTAGTGCCTACCTGGAGCTTATGATATAAACTCCACTGTCTACACAAGAGTAAATGTTTCTTAATGGGTCTTCATCTCTCTCTCTCTCTCTCTCTCTCTCTCTCTCTCTCTCTCTCTCTCTCTCTCTCTCTCTTTATCTTTGTACCTTTGTGTGCTCCCTGTTGAGTGGAAGATGAGATGCACTGAGGAGTCAAGCGAAGAGGACCCGAGATGTTATAATGTGCTGTAGTGTTGTTGTTGTTGTTGTTGTTATTGGGATCTCTTACTAAACTCTGCCTCAATCGTCACAACCACACATCCCAACACATCCCCAACCACACTCCTTACGCTCCCGACACACATACACACCCTCACCCATCACACTGCTCACACACCCTAGCTACACACACACGCCACCCAACCCACACACCACTAGAACCATATAACCCGCCCGTCTCCACCTCCCCGTCTGCTATTCCAGAGCCTCAACACCGGTATTGTGACGCTCTTGAACTACGGCAAGCACGTCCCTCCCGCCGTCAGCCACGTCACCCTGGCCCACGAGATCGGCCACAACTTCGGCAGCCCCCACGACCCAGAATCCGACACTCGCTGTACCCCTGGCGGAGAAGACGGCAACTACATCATGTTCGCCAGGTATGGAGGACGTGTTGTCATATTAAACATTTTAGGAGAGTGTTTATACCTGTATTTGTCTTGTCAAACAGGCCGATATGCCAAGTAGGTCAACCCGTTCTCGCACTTTCTTATAGTCAATATTGACTTATTAAATAAGTGCATATGTGACATACTAATTTATTGTGAATATATTAGTTTACCTTGAAAAGCTTCATAGAAAACACCGACCTTACCTAACCTTCTTAGTATGTTAAGATAAGCATCTTATTGCTTCGTAATTACAATTATTACTTAACCTATAATATAATAGTAATAACAATTATTACTTAACCTATAATATAATAGGTTAAGTAATAATAGTAATTACGAAGCAATAAGATGCTTATCTTAACATACTAAGAAGGTTAGGTAAGGTCGGTGTTTTCTATGAAGCTTTTCAAGGTAAACTAAAATATTCACAATAAGTTAGTATGTCACATATGCACTTATTTAATAAGTCAATATTGACTTAAAGAAAGTGCGAGAACGGGTTGCAATTTTCTCACAGTTTAAGATATAGTTTTCTAGTGTGAACAAGCACACTAGATCACTACACAGCTAATTACGGGCTACTCAGGCCCGTGCCATTTGTAGGGTCGCTTAACCTCCATCACTGCCTTACAGAGCGACCTCGGGGGACAAGCGGAACAACAACAAGTTCTCGCCGTGTTCGCTGCGCCAGATCAACAGTGTCCTCAACTCCAAGGCCAGGGACTCGAAAGGGTGCTTCACCGAGCCCCAGAAGGCCATCTGCGGCAACGGGGTAGTAGAGGCGGGCGAGGAGTGCGACTGTGGCTGGGAGGAGGACTGCGACGAGGCCTGCTGCTACCCAATGAAGAACAACCCCAAGAAGAACCAGAAACCTTGCACCCTGAGGCCCAGCAAGGTCTGCTCCCCGTCCCAGGTCAGTACCCCGTCCCAGGTCAGTTCCCCCGTCCCAGGTCAGTTCCCCCGTCCCAGGTCAGTTCATACTCTCACACACACGGGTGTTCCGCGCTAATGGGGGTCAGTCTCCCAAAATTCAAGAATCTTTAGTAAAGCCAAAGTAGCGAAAACCTTGAGATTATGAAAGCAGTAGAGAGAAATCTGTGATAAAGATCTAACGGTAAAGATGAATGGGGAGATATGAATGGTGGTGATCAGAGGGGACTCTTTCGTCAGGTCGACGCAAATGAGGTAAGTTTGCGAGGGATATTAGTAAGGATGACAAGGCTACAACAAATCAAATGAGACACAGTATTTATCAGTGAAAAACAAAGAAAACAAGAATGTAGGAGTGAAGTAGCACATATGGATAGTTTTAGGGGAAACTTAAGTGGTTCTGCAAACAATGAACTACGAAAGTTGGATCAACACTTCATTAACCAAAAAGGAAACTTAGACAAACATTTTGTTCTCCTGGGCACCAGAAGACTCGAATACCCGACCTCCAACACGGAGAGGAGTACTTTATCAACTGAGCTACGAGCTAGCCACAGTAGAGAAGGATTCCAAAGGCCCCAAACTGCTGCCTAAACTGGAACTTTGTCTTCACTGGGCCTCCACTCGAACACAGAAGAATTAGGTGATCCACGCTCAAGTCATGTAAACTGTAAAAAAAAACTGTCTATCGCCTTGCTTAGTTGGTAGAACGCTCGACTCCCACACTGGGGGTCGGATGTTCGAGACTCCGAGTGCCCAGGTGAATTAGATTTTATCGGGGGAAAGACTATATAGCACTTGGAAGGGGGTTAGGATAAGGATTTTGGGATGGGACGGGGATGCAGGAACGAAAGTGTCCAACCACTTGGACGGTCGGCGATTGAACGCCGACCTGCATGAAGCGAGACCGTCGCTCTGCCGTCCAGCTCAAGTGGTTGGACCAGGTGAATGAAATGTCATTATCCAGGGTACAGTGGTTGACAGTTTATTAGATTAACATGTGCAAGAAGTAACACTCAGGAATTAATGTGAATACAATTTTCAAAAGTTGCAAGAAACTGGTCAACAGTTTACCAAGCTGTTGTAGTGTCAGAAAGCAAAACAGATAATAGGGACATGATCAAAATTATTAATAATAACAAGCAGACTCAAATTTCCGAAATAAGATGTGTAAAGGGGCAACATTATTGGTTGTGTTTAACATTAATAAGAAGGATATATCATGAAACCAAAATCCCTAATATACGACGGAACATGAATATGGAGTCCATATATGGATTTAACTTAAGGAAACACATAACTTAATGTAAAAGAATTGATAAAGATGAGGAAGACGAGTACAGACCACTCATTAATGTATAACAGTTCAGACAATGCTTTACAAGGTTTTTAACCCTTTCACAAGTGAAAGATTTGTGATCGGAGGAAGACTGTAAGTTTGACAATCAGGAAAGATCTATCAAAGGAAGACAGGGCTATAATCAAGATAAATGTGATAGAAACTAACAAAATAACTGTAAATAGAATTGAGGGAGACAGGGGCAGTGTTCTTACAGAGTGTTACAATTGAGGAAGCTGGTTAAATTTGTCATACAAAAGCAAATCAAGTGATAGAAAGTTTTAATCATAATGTGAATACGAGAGACATGACTATAAAATTATAGCAAATACATTGATTAAATTACTCGATTAAATTGCCCGAAACGCTATGCGTGCTAGTGGCTTTACAAGAATGTAAAATCAACTCAATTTCTATGTTCTCTGTTAATCCCCAATGTACCTACTTTTATATAAATAATAAATAAATAAATATTGAATAAATAAATAAATACTCAATACAAATGCAGATGGCTTAGCCTATAAATACTTTGAATTAAAGGATATGATTAACCCTCGTGCTGCTCTCAACATCTGGAGATTAAAATTGTATGCCAGTGTTTAAATTCCGATGGTCCAAATGGCTCCAATAGGTCAATGGTGTCTCCAGCAGTGATGGGAGCCCAGAAGATACTCTTAGAGACTCAAGTCCTTCAGCTCCTGGTTTGAAAGCGTCAGCTAATGAGGCTCTATAACTGACATAGTGATATGGTGTATTTGAGCTACTGAATCCAGTGTGATATTATATGTTGTCAAATTAACATCTGTGTTTACTTTGATGGCAATGTGGATGTTTCAGGGGCCGTGTTGTACCCATGACTGTCGTCTGAAGGAGGGCGACAAGTGTAGAGATGACAACGGCTGCCGCGACTCCTCCTTCTGTAATGGTCGCTTCCCTGAGTGTCCTCCCTCCACCAATAAGCCCAACAAGGTAAGCCTCCTTCCCCCACCTACCCCCCTCCCCTTGTACCTTCTCTCACCCCTACACCAACAAGCCCAGCTAGGTAGACAACCTCTCCACCCCTTCCCCTGTTAACAACATGTTGCTATTCATATCGAGAGGTTATATAAATGACATTTTTGAAAATGGTTGTCACTTGTTTATATTCAAATATGTGGGTTGGGTGTCTAGTTTTCAGTGACGTTATTGTGACTTATTGTCTGCATGTTCATATTCTCTAATGATATATAACCCGACATGTGCCTGTGTTTGACGGCGACAGACTATCTGCAACGAGGAGTTCGTGTGTTACAAGGGCGAGTGTAGCGGGTCCATCTGCCTGGCGTACGGGCTGGAGTCGTGCCAATGTGACCGCAGCGCGGGCGACCCCGTCACCAAGTCCTGCGAACTCTGCTGCAAACTCCCGGGGGAGAACCAGATTTGTCTGTGAGTTTCATCTCGGCGCCTCTCGTGGCTTGACACAATCACTGCTTACACTGAAACTGACATTATCAGGCATCTTAGATGCTTAGGAAATATATAAGATGAGAGGAATTAATGATTGATATTGTTTTCATTAAGATGGCTTGTGTTTATGGAGGATTATAGTCAAATTTCTTCATTAACCCCTGCACTGCGCACCTGTTATGGACAAAAATTTCATGGTACACATGTTAAGGACATATTTAGTTTTATAAATGTTCAGCTAATGTTATTGTGAAAATGTTTTCAAACTCAACCAATTTCATTTCAAATCACAAAGAGTGATAAAAACATTAAAAAAAAAACATTCAAATACGGCCTAATTAACAAAACAAAATCGCATAATCCTCAGAGTGCCTTAAAGCGCTCCGAGGCACAGTTAAGTGGTTAATATTGTTATAACTAGTTTTCACAGATTCTCAATTATTAGGACGTTGTTATGTAGAAAAGTACAGTTGTCTGTTGTTTCTAATGAAATTTATTCTCATTTACCTGTACTCTGTTTACCTATACAGGTCGTCGTTTGAGTGGAATGTGCCTCCGTACGACATCCCAGACATGTATGCCAAGGCTGGCACTCCCTGCAATAATTACAAGGGCTACTGTGATGTCTTCAACAAGTGCAGAGAGGTGTGTGCTGCCTCTTTAAAGCTAACAATTGATGTAATTGTAAAAGTTTTCAATCTGGAGTATTACAAAGTTAATGACAAATACAAATACAAACTTTCATTCGCAGAAACTAATACTCACATTTATTTTTTTCAACATGTGTAAGTTGAATAATTATAAATGCCAAGTATTTCTAAATGTTAATAAAATTAGTGAAGGTGGAAGATATTGCGAGAAGAATGGATATATATATATACACTGAGAAGTATACTCTACTTCTTGCTATATATATATATACACTATGAGTTTACTCTACTTGTAACACAAACAAGGAGCAACAGTTTCAAGGTCAACAAGCTACACTGCACGACTGACAACAAGAGATACCTTTTCACCCACACGGTTATAAACCCATGGAACCGCCTTCTACTCTAAGCCGTGAACGCCAAAATTCTTTTAAATTTTAAAATTGACCTAGAAAAATAGTGAGGTGGGCCTTTGATAAGCCGCCGGCTACCTGCCCTCATCGTGGCCACTAGAGTGTTAATGGCCTTCAGGTAACTTTAATCCTGAAGTATGTTCCGAATTAAATATAGTTGCTGCTTGCTCAGTAAGTTATTGTGGTGGCCTTAACAACCCCCTCTGACTGGTTAATAGGCCTTACTCTCCTTCCCTCCACCAGTTGATAGGCCTTAAGCCCAATACCAAACCAACGACTTTCATTCAGATTCGCAGCCCGTCCTCCAAACAAAAATTCAAAAGTGATTCCATGCACCCGCCAAACCCGTTTATGAATTAAATGCGGTTTACACACAACTCACAACTGCTGACGTTCGAACATATCCGGAACAAGTGCTTCACTGACGAATTTTGTTTGAATCACAACGCTATAAATGCTTCACCCACGTACTACAAATACTATACAAATAATCGCCAACAGACCCTAATCACCTGACCTAACCTATCCTATGCCTATATATGCACAATATGCTAATATATTATAATATTAATTTATACTTGAGAAAATTCCCGATTTGAATGAACAGCATGTAAAAATTTTTGAATGGGTCTGTGGAGTTGACCGCTGAATGTAATGGACTTGAGTCGAGGACAGGTTGCAGATTCGAGCCGCAGACAGCACAAGCGAGTGTGTGCCTTAAAGTCTCTCACAATAAGGTGCTGCCATCTAGTGGAAACTTGGAGGTAGACTCATGGAGTCGCCTTCAAGACGCCGATAACTACTCAACAGGACCACACATGGTTCAATCAAGTGAAATTTCTTTCCATTCAAGCAGTGCAGAGACATGCGAACCAGTTGCCACTTCCACGCAGGGAATAAGAAATCGTATGTTAGCCACAAGGAAGAAGACGTCTAATATAGTAGACTGTGTACCTGTATTTACCTGATAAGTACCTTGCATATGTAGGTGTCTATTTATTAGCATAGACCCAATGCTTGCAACAGTAACGCCTCTCGCCCAACAAGAGGCGTATCGTCAGTGAGAGATGGACCATCTTGCTGCTCTGTTGACATTGTAGGTGCTGACATCTGTTGGCGGTCTGCTGACCCAGACTGCCAACAGTCTGCCTGGGTCAGCAGACAGCTAGCAATTTGCCGAACAAAAAATGACTGTTCATGAAGCTGAGCAACGCTTGGAAAAGGGTTTAAGACTGGATGAATGTGCCGAACTGGATGGATAAATTTCCAGTGTCATTTTCTCCCAGTCCATCCTTTTGGACTAGTCAGAATAGCGAATGCCTGGCCACTTTCAGGATCAGCATTTGATTCCCCAATGGCCCAATTAGTTGGGCACTGTTCCTTCACCCCCTAATGATATGACAGGTCTTTTCTCGCCAGAACCCTTCAAAGTACTATTATAGTCATACTGTACTAGCTATAAGCACATTCTCTTGAAAGTAGGACATTGCCAAAAGCAACTAAGGTAAATTCTCAGCATTATTTCTTCGGTATTCCGGTTTCAGTTTTCTTTACCGCAGAAAATCACCTCAGATATACTTCATGGAACATTTGGAAACATTTAAATAATGAAGTTACAGGGTGAGCCTGAGGAGTTCAGAGACGCGGCTTCGAACCCGCATCTCGACTCAAAGCTCAGAGACGCGGCTTCGATATTGCGGAGCCCCCAATATTTATTAATTGTTATGATGTAAATCAACTTGTTGCCACAGGTGGACCCTTCGGGACCCCTGGCCACGCTCAGAGGTCTGCTGCTGAGTGATGAGTCTCTGGCCAACCTTCAGCGGTGGATCATCGAGCACTGGTATGCCGTCCTCTTCGTCGTCCTCGCCGTCATGGTGCTACTGGTGAGTCTTGTGGTGCTACTGGTGAGTTGTGGTGCTACTGGTGAGTCTTGTGGTGCTACTGGTGAGTTGTGGTGCTACTGGTAAGTCATGTGGTGCTACTGGTGAGTCTTTTGGTGCTCTGGTGAGTTGTGGTGCTACTGGTGAGTCTTCTGGTGCTTGTGGTGAGTTGTGGTGCTTCTGGTGAGTCTTATGGTGCTACTGGTGAGTCTTCTGGTGCTTCTGGTGAGTTGTGGTGCTTCTGGTGAGTTGTGGTGCTACTGGTGAGTTCTGTGGTGCTACTGGCAAGTCTTCTGGTGCTTCTGGCGAGTTGTGGTGCTTCTGGTGAATTATGGTACTACAGTACTGATGAGTCTCGTCCGTCGCCTTTTTAATGGAGTGCTTGTATTGGTGTGGCAATGCATGGTATGAGGAGAGAGGACGGGATGGCAACATGTTGGTATGACTTGATGAAAGCTGCAAGCAGGGCGTGACTGCATACCTCACGTTGCTCACTATCTAGGAGGAAAGTGATGGATTTTCCGGAGAACAGTTCTAAGGACTTTGAGAGGAAAGAAGCCTGGCGAGGTGGCACGCTACCTGTGAGCAGACACATTGGTTGCAAGACTTGCCAAACATGTTCCGTTGTCTAGTGTCATTCATCATATTACACAGCTTTGTGAAGCTTCCTCTTGGCATGTTGGGTATGGAGAAACATCCTCAATAATTATGATCCCTTGGAAATCTATCATTATAAGTAATGAACTAATACTGTATATATATCATTGTATCAGTAACTCTTATCCTTTTTAACCTCTCTTATTTTAGTTGCAACATTCTCAAGATCTGATGACTGTTTCTTTAAGTCTTTTTATTACTATCTAACATTACCAATCTTATACAAGTTACGTTTTCAAGGTTTAATTTAGTTTTAGAGGCTAAGATGTGTGTGTTAAGACATCTTAAGTTCTCGAGTTAGAAGTGTGGCGTCTTGGCTCTCTTCCTCTGCTCTGTCAAGGTCATCTTCACACTGTATCTTAACTTGTACTGTATTCAATTTTTTGTCAGTTCTTGATCCTTTGTTTTGATTTTTATAGTTATCTGCCCAGTCATGAAATGCTTTACTACTTTTTTATATTTTAATTTCTTTGGTTTTCATTTTATTGTTTCCATTTTGACTTCACTTTTTCTTAACCATTTATCTTGTATTGCTTTACTCTTACACAGTACAGTGTACTGTACGATGTTCATATTTTAGGTTCCAAGGGGTTTTCTGGTGTACCAAAATAGATCAATTTAAAAATAACTTTTAATTGCTGTTTTTTGCCGAGATGTGAAATGTCTGCAGTTTTCGTGTCCTCGGATATTATCCTTTCCCAAATGCTTTTTTTTTCTAAATTTATTGCATTGTTTACATTTCCCTATCGCTCCTTGTCTTTTACTATTTCCAAAACTAGCCAACGTAACTCTTTCTTAGTTGTCAAGTTCCCCATTTAATGCATGCCTTCAGTCTACTAAAAGTTTCCCCCTTTTTTCTCCATTGGCATATTTCCCACGTATTTGGCTGTTACCTAACCTGCAGCTAATCTTTGACTTAATATCTCCTCTGGCTGGCCTCATCACTGACCAGGTGTCTCCCTGATTACATTATTACTCCCTGTTCTGTGTTCTCAGTTCCTTATTTCCTACCATTACCTTGTGCCCCTTTGGACTATATTCCCACTTGTGCAAGAGCTGCCTCTTATCTCTGCATGCCCCTGTGACTCTGAATATCTCCTCAACATAGACTTCTCAACTGTACCCTTTGCAGATGCCCTTGATTGGTATCTGCACCATGGATCCAACTTACAAGGTGGAGCTAGAGTCCTCTTACTCCTACTCCTCCTACTACTACCAGGCTCAGCAGCAGTGCTCAGCGGGTGTGGAGGCGCCCCTCATGGGTAGGGTCTTGTCTCAGCTCCACCCTCACCCACCCACCAACGTCTGCCACTCACTCCACCATTCTTAAAAAGCTTTCAATCAGACGCACCGCTAAACATTCTCCAGGCACATTTGCCACTCAGAAATTTAAATGAAAAATTTGTCTCCCGTTACTACATGTTCTACTTCAGCTTCATCCAGAGTCTCTGTAAACAATGGAAAAAAAATATTGTGACCAAATTTCGAAATGCAGAGGAGGAAAGTTTGCAAGATCAATAAGTTCTCATACATCATAAATCAACTCATTTTATCTGGGAGATAATGGGATCGTTGCACAAACCAGCCCTTCCCCTGCCACCAGTGTTGAGCAAGTCACACAGGGGAAGGGCTGAACATTTGGCCCCTTCCTTAAAACTAATCAATCTTATCCTGGTGTCCCCTGTGTTTACACTGTCACGAGATAGGCAGGATATGAGCTGTTGACTCCTCCCTCCCCACTCTTCCTTCCCGGCTTCCCCGTCTCCCCTCCTCACCCCCACCATATCCTCCCCCAACCCACGGTACACTGAGAACCTTGCTGGTTGGTGTGCTCAAGATACTGCCTGGTGCACAGCACATAAAAGCTGTCTTCACAGTACACATGAGGCTGATTTGTCTAGTATTGTGAAGACGCAGTCATCAGTCCGCTTGCTCCTTCACTTCAAGTTCTTTATATCAGCTTGCATTCGTATCTGTCATTAAATTCTTCCTTATTGGTGGAAATCATTAGAAGAGTTTTGTCAATTCATTCCCTCTTCTTAGTACTTGTACGGTACACTGTACGGTACACTGTACGGTACACAGGCATCTGTGGTGCCACTGTCATTCCCCAAGGAAAAAGATTAATAAAATCTATTCAGTTTATATCTTACATTCACGGGGCCAACTGACGTAAATTGTTAAATTCACAATTTCAAAGATATTTTCAATGTCATATTGATGCCACTTTTTCCTGCTTAGTTTTGCTAACTTAGTAAAATGACCTATTTTGTCAAACCAATCAGCCTGCAGGCTTCTCACACCCTCACAAACCCACTACTGTAGCAGTCATTGATGACGCTGATGTACCTGTCACTGTACCGTCACATGATCATCTGATTGTCCATCGGCTTAGAAAACTGTGAAGATGTGGTCTGATCCGGGATGCACGTAGCTGTTTGATGCTAGATTCACTACAGTGTACATTCTCATGGCATGAGTGAACCTCTTAATGCAGGACCATAATGCATGGCCCTTTCTACCTCTTAGTTAATGACTTGTACTCTATAAGATCTGCTTTTCAAGAAGACTTGTTTCGGGAAGTAGCAAGTTCTATTAAAATATGTGTGTGCTTAACTGTATTCGCTTTAGAACTGGCATGTTTTCGTGTGAGTTATTTTCATTGTAGTGCATGTTTTCCTCTTTCTGGCGTGATGCCCTCCAGACACACGCCTCAGAGTTGCTGGCTAGTCTTGCACTAATCAATCCACCAACGGAAATGTAGCATTTAACTCTTTCGTTAAGCATGGCCATCTTCCTCGCTGTGTATTGCTCCTTTTCCCATTGAATTGTTGCATGTTGCATGCTGATGGTGATGGCGCATATTACAGAAGAGGAAGCCAAAATTGGATGACGAGAGGAACTGTGCTGTGGAAGTCTATATTGACCCAGCTCTTAAAATAAAAGATGCATGCCAGACAGAAAGTGAAGGTTTGTTCTTACAAGATGTTGGTTACAGCCAGTACTGTAACGCCGTAGCTTGTTCTCATGTTCCTCTGAGGCACAATCTCGCCTCCTGTAATATTGGTACACAGCACATTACAGCTGAGTCGTGGCTTGGAAACGTGTGTATGCTAGCTAACGACCACATATTATGTATAATATATCAAAGAATAGTTACAGCCTTAACAGCAAATATGAATACTGTACTGTGGTTCATTGTTTGGTATGCATAGAGTATACAGCTGTTTATCTCCAACATAAATATTGTGTTTTCATACATGTTAAATGTAACACATTACGAGCAGAACTGTATTTAGATACTGTATTGGAACTGTTGTATTTGTATGGCTAGACAAGTGGTAGCTTCATGTAGTTATTATGGTATTTTGATAACGTGGACGTAGACCTTTGGATAGAAACGTAGGACATATTGGAGACACAAATATAAACAAACACACACCACAAGGATAAACCTTTAATGTAGACAGTGCTTCACTCGGGCTGATCTTTATTAAAACTGCAGAAAGACATGCCAAATCAGAGGGGAGCAGCTGTATGGTTGGGTCTGGTGAGGTTCCTGCGGCGTGCTGCTCCATCTTCCCATATTGTAGGCTGTGGAAACCCCTTAAACTTCGCTAATCTCTGTTTTGCATCCTAGCATTGTTCTGGGCTAATTGCTGGTTGAAAATCAACTAGAAGATTTATAATCAAGAGTTTCCAACATACATTAGAGTCCATCAGAGTTAAACAAGCATATTTGCTTACAGTGCAACAGCAATTAGAATGAAAATACAGCGAATTACACGTAACAGCTCTTCATGACTGACATCAACCGGAAAGGCACTGCTGCTGTCTATAAAAGAGATATGGTAACATACGACCGAGCCTGGCCTCAGGCCGGGCTCGGGGAGTAGAACAACTCCCGAAACCTTCTCCAGGTCTGTAACATGCTACAGCGGCAGTCCTACTGCCAATCTGGTGGTTGAACTTAGTGCACAGATACATTAAGTTACATAGGGGTAAATCGTGAGTAATATTGTGTAAGAAGGTTCAGAGCCTAGTAATAACATTTAACCCAGAACTAAGTGGACTCTCATATTATGAAAGGTTGAGGGCCTCAGGACTAACAACACTAAGAACCAGACACGACAGGGCTCATCTTATAGAGCCTTAAAATTCTGAACAGACGGAAAGATCTAATATAACTCGCACAAAGGATAAAACTTCAAGCTCAACAAGCCACAATGTAGGACAGACAACAGAAGATGTTTTTTCATCAAAGTTAAATAAACTCATGAAATCACCTACCTGCCGAAGCCGTAAATGCCAATACAGTACTTCAGTTTAAAATACAGCTGAAAAATATCCTTAGGGACTGAAGGGAAGTCTTGACAAGTCACTGGTTTCCTGTGGACATCGAGGCCACCAGAGATGGTGACCCTCAGATCAATTTGGCAGTTCTTGTCTGCAAGTTCCCGTGAAGCTTCTCCCACATGTTTACAGTCTTCACAGAAGATGGCGGAGGTCGCTGCTCTGTTGTTACATGTAATATCTACTTGTTGTCAGTATGTGGAATATTTCGTCCATTGCTTGAAGGCTCTTCTCTTCTCTTCCCGGTGACTGCACAAGAAGTGTTTTAGGGCGACAAGCCCCCATGACACACCCTTGCCCGAGTTCATCTTTCAGCTGGGCCACTCTTCTTTCTGCATCTCATAAATTGGGTGACTGTGGGTGAAGGCTGTGTGCAGCTCGTCCTGAGTGAAGCATTCTCTACAGTGAAGGCCTGTGTCGTGTTAGCCTGCATATGTTGATACGTACAGTAGTTTGAATTATCATAAGCCATTATAAGGTTGGCCTTCTTTCCCAATATACTGTATAACATTTACTTTTGGATATAATTAAGAATTACCATTCTTTATCTTTCCTGATTTGCCTTATTCATGTATGTGGTAAAAATATACATTAGCTTTTCCTAGTATAATTGCATTTTAAATTCTTGACCTTGATGTATTTATCCACATTATTACTTCTGATTGGCTTTTCCTGTACATTTTTTACTCTTATTATTTTAATCTTTCAATCTAAACTGTTCTGCATTATCATGAACTTTTTCTGTTATATATGGTTCACCATGTTCTTTAGCGATGGCCCTGTACACAAAAATGGTGAACTTGCATAACTTTTAAAGGCTTTGTTTCACCCTTAGAAATGGACAGCTGCAGTTACGTGTTACTTTGTGTACCTGTTGTGTTAACGTGTGTTCCTTGTTTCTAGGTGGCGATCATCAAGGTGTTCGGGAAGGCTCCGGAGACAGTGAAGTTGAAGAGCCGGACGATTATGCATAAGAATTCAGGAGCATTGCAATACTCAGTGCCTGTAACAGGCGCCACATCCAATGGCGCCATAGCTAATGGCACAACAGCCAATGGAGCCACAGCCAATGGTACTACTGAGACAGCCGCTAACCATGTTGTCCACCCTACAGTTGTCAGAGCCAATTTACCATTTAAGAGGAAAGTGAATGAGGTGCGTAGAGCAGCTACGAAGGCCAAACGGGCAGCAAAGAGTCAGCTTAGTCGGCCACACAAGAAAAGTAGCAGACGTGCTGATGGTGGTGTAACTTCTCCTACAGAATCGGAGAAGAGTGGTCCTGGTGCCACAGATGGAGCTCTTCCCACAAGTGATACTCGGATTAAGGACCGACTGTCTAGTAGATTTTCAATAATTAGTTTCAAGACCTTTCGACCCAAGTCTCTTAGTCCTGACAAACACAAAAGCAAGAGCCCAGATAAACGAAAAACTAAAAGCAGCAATGACAAAAAATGCAAATCAAAAAGTTCCAAGAACCACCACAGAAGCCGAAGTCCAGACAAGAAACGAAGAGCAGAAGGGCGTACTGAAGGTCGTGCCGCAGAGAGCCCAGACAAACATAGAAGGTCAAGAAGCCCAAATAAGCAGGCCAGCCTGGAGGACGATCGTAGAAAATCAAGGAATCGATCAGTTAGTCCAGAAAAAACTCGCAGATCTTCCAGTCCAGACAAAACCCAAAGGCAGAAGGCACGAAGTCCGGAGAAGCACCGGAAGATAGGAGAAGGAAACTGGTTAATAAACAAATTCCTTGCTGATGAGGAGAAAACTGCCAAACCCATTGTCAATGGTTCCTTGATGGGCTCATTGAATGGGTCACTTAGCTCTATTAATGCTGTATTAGGTGGACCCACTAACAGTCCCCAGATGGGACCAGTTAGAAATGGGTCCATGCGGGGTCTGCTAGCAAGTGATAGCAACAGAGGTAGTCCTTTACGGGGCTTCATCAACGAGGCCTTTATTAGTTCCCCTCGAGGAGGCCGGACTCATAGCTCTTTGAGAGTTACTAAATCTGTCAGTCCAGAGGGGCTCGAGTTTGACTTGGGACCCAGTCAGTACCGTAGATCAATTAGTATGGAGGCCTATAACAGGCCCCCAGCTAGTCCAGATAAGAGAAAGCGATCCATATTGGATGAAGGTCTGAGCCCTGATAAAAGAAGACGGTTTAGTAGCCCAGAGAAGACCCAAAAATCACACAGTCCTGCCAAGGAGCGGAGACTGACCTGTCCTGAGAGGAACCGTCGCACCCTGGATCCAGAGAAACGGCATTCCTCAATCTCACCCCCATCATCAAAGACCAATTCCTACTCGTCGGTGCCTGAGCGATTACGCGAGAAGCTTTCACTCATCACTGCCAGTCCTTCAGGCAGCGTTGCCTCCATCCTGCCTCCGTCGGAGCCCGCAGACAATGTCAGTCTCCACTCTTCCACTCACTCCACACATTCAACCCGGTGTCAACCCAAGGACTGGGTCTGAGGTACCCCCAAACAGTGACAGTGTTCAGAATTTCAGTGACAAGAATTCTGGTCTAGGGTGAATGCAGTTCGTCCTGCCTTTCCTGGATAGCGGTGTCCAGTGTGCATTTGTGACAGCACTATTTTAGAAACAGTGTGTCGCTTGTGTCACATGAACATAAGGCTGCTGCATCTATTTTGTGCCAACCACTTTTTAGTCCTCATTACTCACATAACTGAGATTTACAAGTCCAGTATACATGTGTGGTGTTCATTCCATCAGGTGCATTTTTTGGATAAGATGAGGGAAGAAGTGTAGTGAATATTTACAAGATGTGATGAAGTGTGTGACCCAGTCATGGCCACATGGACTGAGAACAAGGAATGCTCTCATTGTTTGTTTTATTTAATGAGTATTTATTGTTATCTGAGAATATTGGCAGTATAATGCTGCCTGTTGCAGCTAATCCTAAGTTAGTTCATATCAGTTTTGCTTTGTGATAATATTTTTATGTCAACTCTGATAAGTTTGTCTTGCTCAAGACTGTATGGGAACTAACAAATCATCTCCAGTTGGTCAGTCTTCCTTGGAGTTGTGAAGCTCTGTAGGTGAGGCCAATCAATGCTTTTGCGGTCGAGGACAGATGTTCAGGCACTGTGATTTACTGTTATATTTCACAATTTTGCCAAAGGTTTTAGCTACATACTGTATTACTGTGTGTGTTGAAACAGCCATCTTTATGTTATTAAACAAGTTTGTTTGTATTCAGTAAGCTGCCTCTCACTATTCAGCAAGATGGTCATGCATAGTTTTTCTTAGTATAATTTTGACCTTACACAGATTTAGGATTCTCCTCCTTAATCCTCTTCTCATTCTGTTCTGTGACCTGCAACTACCAGTAGATTTATGCTCCCATAGTCAATACATGCAGTAAAACTTGTATTACTATGTCCATGATTATTTACCCTCAACAGCAAAGCTATTTTTGTCCTATTAATTATACTTCTATATATCCTAATTCCTATTATTTTGGTTTACCAACTAATCAACAGTAACCTAATCTGGCAACGAATAACTTTTGAATAGTTCCAATGCTTAGCCTTGGCCTAAATTTGATCAAAGAAATTACAGTAACCCATTTGACTCCTCAGCTGGTGCTCCTGCCATATGATCTCATCTCACCTTCCCACAACTTGTAAACCTTAAGTGTGTAGCTTGAAACTCCTACATATTGTAACCTGTACATTGTAAATCTGTGCAAGATATTTTTAATACTTTTTGAAGGCTAATCTACTAGACCACTAGTGTGCTTCTGATTTACAGATTACGTTCTAGGAACAGTGTGTTTCATTTAGTTTGTAAAAATATATAAAATATGAGATTGTCGTGTTTAACTGATCAGAAAATGGTACGTTGATCCTTTGCTTTTCTCGCTGTTGTAAAAAATAAGAGGCCAATGGGTCTATCAGTAGGGTGTAGGTTGATGTCCTAAGCTGCTGGATTGTGGGGTAGTTTCTCATTGTTTACAGTAGTCTCTGCTAGGGTGCGTGATCAGGGAGACTTGGGTATTATTTTTAGGGACTTTTCAAGCCTGTCTGCATAACTTTCAAACTGCTGGTTAAGTTTGATAAACAAAAATTGAATGTGTGTGTGTAATAACTCATAAATGATAGTGTTGAATCTTCGTTTTCAGAATGCGATTATTACACTCTTATATTAAGAGGCAAGCATCAGAATGTCTTAGTGCACAGTATGTGTGATTCCCTTTCCTTCTACCATACAGAAGATCAGTATGGTTTGGTGCTAGACACTGCTGATAATATTCTGTTACTGCCGAATTTTAATCATAGGAGAAATGCTGGGTTCCAAGGTTACAAACATTCCAGTTCAAAACTTGACTGGAATAGGATCCAGGATGACATTATATACTGTCATTGATTTTTTAAGATGTAACGAGAATCAGACCAAGAGCAGATGAGTTACAATGTCAAAATAATAAGACCCACATATTGGGATGTTAGAAGTCCTGTGTTATGTATCAAAAGGCCACATGTTGGGGATCAAAAACAATACTACATGTTAGGAATAAGAACTACCACATGTTGGGGATCAGAAGAACCACATGTTGGGATTTATCCACAGATTACCCATGCTACCCAACACTGGGTGAGTGTGATGTTAAATGGTAAGTTATCTATGTTTGTTTAGGTTGGATAGTTCTTCTGCTAAATTGTTTATTGCTGTAAAATATAATTTGTTTATATTCTATTAGAAAATATAAACCCAAAAATTTGTAATAATTCGAGTAGATTGAGGTATGGTAGACTACTATCATTCATCTGATGTTCTACAAGTCAAAAAAATCCACTTTAGTGTATAAGTATGTACTATAGAGCTGCTGCATATTTGTTTCAGCTTGTGTTTACAAGTGAGACTGAATGTGCTTCCAAGTACTGTATTAATTTTGAACTGAATTGCTTCAACCACTTGGCCATGGACTTGTGACCATGAGTATCTGGCCAATACAACTGCTCATTACAGTGTTACTTGTTGAACTGGTGGCTGGAATCAGATCTTTAACACTGTAGCCCAGTGTGAAAGTCGGTTCCCATCTGGTGTTAAAGTCTGATTTTTAAGCCCCGTGTTAAAATCCATTTCTCGACTACAGTATTGCCTGAACTGTGTCTGGCTGTGGCCAAGTGGACCTTGAATATAGTATATCTTCCTGTTGCTACTGCTGAATGGTATTTCAGTTTTTATCCTTGTTGTGTATTTTATATATAAATATATATATATATAATTTTTATTTCATCAAATGGTGTGTAGAGGTTTTTAGTGTTTTTTTAATTTTCTTCCCCGAGAAAACTCAGGATCAGTACCTACTGAGAACAGCGTAATGTAAGAGTATTTGTTATGTCTAAGAGAAGTGACGACTCATGTGAGGGGGGCTACGCTGTGTGGGTTATGATAAACATCACCAGCATTGCCCCTATAATAGTTCTTGGGCCATGTCTAAAGCTTCCCGAGTGCTGAATACAGCTCTAGTAGGAGAATTTGCAAGACTCCTTAGTTATTAACTATGGCTCATAGTAATTTTTAAAGCTCATGAGAGTTACGAGTAAGCCCCAGTGCAATTTTGAAAGTTTTGGGTTCATGTGTAAATCTATTGTGATGTTAAAACTTCCTGGTGATGCTGAATGGCTAAAGAGAATATCAGTACGAGTTACAAATTTACTCGAGGTTTTGGTATTTTGGAAGATATTTTACTCATCAAAATTACAGTTTTGAAAAGTTGTTGATTTTAAAATGTATTCTACATTTCTCTTGGTAATATCCAATAGAAAATCAGTTGTAGTCGTACGTTATTCATTCAGTTTCTGTGAGACTCCCATTCAGTAGACAAACCTTTTATAATGTCCAAAGTAAATTGTCCTAAGTTAAACAACATTTATCCTGTCAATAACTGTATGATTATTTTTTTTGTGAAAGCTTTAGTTAGGGTTAAAATCTAAATTCGACATTATAAATGAAATATGCTTCAAAATTCAGACTAAGTTATATGTTAACTTAGCCAGGAATATACTCAGCCAGGAAATTGTATTAAGAATCACATTCAGTTTTCTTGGGTAAATAATCTGGGGAAGTTTTCAAAGGTATACCGTGTCTTTCGCGAAATTAATGGTAAAAATGAGTTATACAATTTCAGCTAAAAATATTCTAGTTTAATTAAGTACATGTCAAGTTCCAAATGCAATGATGTATGTTAAATAAGTATTAAAAAAACAGTGAAATGTTATTAGTTCAACCGAGACTTGTATTATAATAGCGGCATTACCTAAAAAGAACAACAGAGTTGGTGTGGCTTCCTTGAACACATAACAGAGAGAGAGAGCGAAGAGCTTAGTACATGTCTTGCCCACCACCATAACCACCAAAACCACCACCACAAATGCCGCCACCACCACCACCAGCCCACCTGCCTTTGCCACAATACACAGATGGGCTGGAGTGTTTTCATCCGCCATTCAAACTCCATTTTCTATGACATATGCCATTAAATACTATTTGTACGACATTACCATTTTGACAATAAAAAATGAAAAAAGTTATTGGTTTACATATCCTTTTCTAAACACTTAATTCACTTAATTACACATGACTCCTGTTGATGCTTTTTTTGGGGGGAAGGGGGGGGGAGGTCTTTCATGCCAAATTGGCTGCTGGCTGAGAAGTGAGAGGAGACTGCCAACTCATAAACTGTAACACAGAGATATGTCACTGGATCCACCCAGAGCCATGTCCAGGTGCGTACTCTAAATCCACCCAGAGCCATGTCCAGGTGTGTCCTCTGGATCCACCCAGAGCCATGTCCATGTGTGTACTTTGGATCCACCCAGAGCCATGCCCAGGTGTGTTTACTAGTTGTGTTTTTGCGGGGGTTGAGCTTTGCTCTTTCGGCCCGCCTCTCAACTGTCAATCAACTGTTTACTAACTACTTTTTTTTTTTTTTTTTTTTTTCCACACCACACACACACACCCCAGGAAGCAGCCCGTGACAGCTGACTAACTCCCAGGTACCTATTTACTGCTAGGTAACAGGGGCACTTAGGGTGAAAGAAACTTTGCCCATTTGTTTCTGCCTCGTGCGGGAATCGAACCCGCGCCACAGAATTACGAGTCCTGCGCGCTATCCACCCGGCTACGAGGCCCCCTACGAGGTGTGTACTCTAGATGAGACTACAGAATTAGAATGATAAGCAAAGTTTTCCGGGACCCAGTTTGCAATCTTCTTGGCATCACAGAACGAATACGGAGGCAACTGCTGCAAGCATGTACCACAGAGGGACCTTTCCTGATGGTCTCAGGTATCTTCTTCTTCTTGAGAATAGGTGCAGTTTGCATGAAGGGTTTACCCTCCCGATGACTGCACTAGGACAGATGTAGGGAGACGCGTTGACGTTGAGGAGAAGAAAGTCAAAAGTGTTAGATGTGTTGGGCCGTAGAGAGAGGAGTGGCGATGAAAACTGGCGGACGTTAGAGGGAGACTCGCCGCACCGTAGGGCGGGGTGACAAGTTCACGGCGGCAGCTGATCCACGCACAGCGGAGCAGTGTGCGCAAGACGTTAACTAATATTTCAATTTGATTTCTGGTGTTGACAAAGGCTTTAACAAGCCGAAACGTTCACCTCATTTCATATTTCTCTGTGGATAAAATGATCAGTGTTTTGTGATCGTCAATTGCATGCATATATATATATATATATATATATATATATATATATATATATATATATATATATATATATATATATTTTTTTTTTTTTTTTTTTTTTATTTATTATTTATTTAGATATATACAAGAGTTGTTACATTCTTGTACAGCCACTAGTACGCATAGCGTTTCGGGCAGGTCCCTGGAATACGATCCCATGCCGCGAAGAATCGTTTTTTCATCCAAGTACACATTTTACTGTTGCGTTAAACAGAGGCTACAGTTAAGGAATTGCGCCCAGTAAATCCTCCCCGGCCAGGATACGAACCCATGACATAGCGCTCGCGGAACGCCAGGCGAGTGTCTTACCACTACACCACGGAGACTGTATATATATATATATATATATATATATATATATATATATATATATATATATATATATATATATATATATATATATATATATATATATATATATATATATATATATATATATATATATATATATATATATATATTAGACTTAATATCTAACATATTCAGAGATTTGAGTAGGGGTACCGAGTGATGTCTGGGGCCAGAGTTGGATATTGTCCTAATAGCAGCTTTGTGTTGAGTAATTAGAGGACGTAAATGATTTTGGGTAGTAGTACCCCAAGCACAAATACCATAGTTGAGATAAGGATAGATGAGGGAGTAATTGAGCGTCACCAGGGCAGGGCGAGGTACATAATATCTGAGCTTAGAAAGAATGCCAACAGTTTTTGAAACTTTTTTTGATATATTTAGAATGTGTCGCTAGAAATTCAGCTTGTGATCAATGAGAACACCAAGGAATTTACCGTCTATTTTGTTACAAATTTGGGTATTGTTTATCCTGAGATTTATTTGATTGGAGGATTTATTGACAAACAGAATATAGAAAGTTTTGTCAATGTTGAGGGTGAGTTTGTTGGCAATTAGCCAAAGATGTACTTTATTTTGCTCAGTATTCACTGACATTTAGAGCAAGGGGGTCAGGACTGGAGTAAATGAAGGTTGTGTCGTCAGCAAATAGAACTGGTTTGAGGTGTTGGGAGGCATCTGGAAGGTCATTAATGTAGATGAGAAAGAGGAGAGGGCCAAGTATGCTGCCCTGAGGAACACCGATGTTGATGAGTAGGGTGGGAGAAATTGAATTATTCACAGAAACATATTGGAGCCTGTCAGTAAGGTAAGACTTAAGGTACTGCAGGGAGTGACCTCTGACTCCATAATGTTGTAATTTAAGAAGGTTTTCGTGGTTGACAGTGTCAAAAGCCTTACGCAGGTCCACAAATAATCCAATAGGGAACTCATTTTTATCAAGTGCTGCATGTATCAAATTAATCATACAAATAAGTGCATCGTTAGTGCTTTTTTTGGGGTCTGAAGCCATATTGATAAGAGCTAAGTATATTGTGTTTGGCTAGATAAAAGTAAAACTGCTTGTAGATAAGTTTTTCAAATATTTTAGACAAGTTTGGCAGAATTGATATAGGTCTGAAGTTGTTAACATCAGTGGGAAGTTGGAGGATAGGGTAAAGAGATAGGGGGTCACGGGTGATGGGGAAGATGAATTTCCTTCGACAAGCCCCCGGCTTCCTGTCCTCGTCGAGGCCACTAGGGTTAGTAGCGCAGCCCGTCCTCCTAAGGTTTTCCAACGTCAAGAAAATGGTCAATTTAAAGTGTCCTCTCCTAACCTGCCAGAGGACCCAAAACAGAAAACGGGACAGTACGTCACTTTCGCGAGCCGCTTCCATTTTCTAGTACGACAATTTTGGACCTTATGTAACGCATACGAGCGAAATGCGACGTTCTTTGTAGGAGGACAGGTTGCACTGCCCTCAGGTAAATCAGGTAAATCAGGAAAAGGAAGGAGTGGAGAGGGGAAGGGTGGGAAAGAAGGGGATGGGAGATGTGGGGAAAGGGGAATAGAAAAGGGTGAGATGACGTGTGGGGGGGGAAGAGACATTCTATGCCGAGCACCGCCGGATTCACCCCCTAGTATATAAATAAATAAATAAATAAATAATAAAGTAGTTGTCGTTCAATTAGTTAATGTACCGTTTTCTGTAAGTGAACATGCTGACAGAAACGTGGAATAGATACAGATCATGAAATAGAGAATCATTGAAAAATACCAATAAATACAGTCAAACTTTAATTTTATCTAAAACAAATTATTCAAACGTATATGGTATTTCGAAAACGATTTGAACAAAGCATGTAGTATAATGATAAGCAAGATAATATATATTAGAAGGTGGGATGATGTGAGTCGGACATATTGGTCAGTGTTGTGGCGTCGGCCGGGGAGGGAACGTAGACGTCTCCTGAACTATCATGTTTCTTTAATAAATTGCCCAGGTATTTCCTCTTTATTGTTACCCAGGCTCTAGCCTGGCGGTGTCCTTGTGTGTGAGAGCAGCGGCTGCAGGAGGGCTGAGCTCCTCAGTGTCTAGGGTTTACCAGGATAGCCTTACACTGTGGGTAGTCATCTAGGACTTTGGTGCTACTTTACAGTTGGGTGTAATAATGCGTGGGCTACAATAAAGAGTTTAGAATGATTAAATATGTGTAAATTATTTAAAGTTACTTGTTAACAGTGACACAATACTGAGCACTGTACAGTGATTTAAGGATACATTGACCGGTGGTAGGCGTAGGTCGACACTGGCAGACACACGAGGCATGAGCAGTCACCTTACAGCCATGTACTCCTGGCTGTGGGGGTCTGAGCACGGCCTAACCTCTTGGTATCCTGGCCCAACCACTTTGGCTGGACGGTAGAGCGACGGTCTTGCTTCATGCAGGTCGGTGTTCAATCCCCGACCATCCAAGTGGTTGGGCACCATTACTTCCCTCCCCATCCCAAATCCTTATCCTGACCCCTTTCAAGTGCTATAAAGTCAATGGCTTGGTGCTTTCCCCTGATAATTAAAAAAATTAACTTCTGGGTTAATTCTCTTACACACAAAGCCTTTACCTAGCAGGAACAAAGTACCGGGGATCTTGTTCACTCTTGTTGATTGAATTCTGGGGGAAGGCTAGTCATTGGCTCGAGAGGCTTTGATTAGTCTAATAGGCTTACAGTCACACCAAGAGAAACCATATGCTGCATTTGACCTGAAAGTTAAACAATGCATCAACAAATATGTAACACAAGTGTGTTTGGGACTGTTGAAACAACTGTATCAAAATTTGGTATTTTTATGAAATAGTCTATACCAAATAAAATTTTGTTGCTTTTAATTTTGGGTTAGGTTAAATGTAGTAGGCTAGGTTAGATTAGGCTAGGCTAGAATAGGTTAGGCTAGAATAGGTTAGGCTAAGTTAGACTAGACTAAGTTAGACTAGACTAAGTTTAATTAGGCTAAACTAAGGTGAGATTAGATTGGGTCAGTATAGCACAAGCCAACACTTCTTGTGAGTTGGCAATAGATTTATGATGTCCAAGTGGTTGGTCATCATTCCTTCCCTCCGTGTCCTCATATTCCTTCCAGGTGATATATTGTCATGCTGGCTTTGCACTTTCTCCTAATAGTTATCTTGCAATCATTATTTTACTACAAAAAATTAGATTTTTTGCATCTAGTCAACAGAACAATGGATGGAGACTTTATTTCTTGTACTACCATCTTAGTTTCAGTATGATCAACAAGAACCTAGTCTACAAAATGTGGATTTTTTAATGGAAATATAGTATATAAATTGCCAGTCTATATAAATAATTTTTATTCCATACATACCTTTTTGTATTATACATGTATGTGACGTGCGTCGTTAATGGCTGCTGTGTTATGTATTGTGTGTAGTTGATGACATGCCAACTGATTGATTAAAGTACAGTATACCTATTTTGTTGGTTAGGCATAATGTTATGTTGATACAGATCTGTGTATTACTGGAAATAGAGATTGCCTTAAATAATTAAATAAATAATAAATAATTTCAATAATAATTTCCTACATAGTGCTTTAAACTCGCACTGTATCTAGTGCTACCCAATCCCCCAATATATGTACCTAAGCCATACAACTTTACCATTGTAATCATTGCTATCACCTTATATCATGGTTGTTATATTGAACATATATTTGACTGCATTATGCCTTTAAATAATCCTCAAATTATGCTACAATGTACCTGTTGATAACCCTCAAATTTTACTTTAATGTACCGCCTAATCTTTGTCAAATTTTCTTACAATGTACCTGTAAGCATTTTTTCAATTTTTATAGAAATTACCTACTTAAATTATCTGTTAGATTAAGGATCTGCCTGAAACGTTATGCGTGCTAGAGGCTTTATAAGAATGTAAAAAAAAAATCAATGCTATGTACTCTCATAAACTCAATGTACCTTCTTGTGTATAAATAAATAAATAAATAAATTATTAATTTAACCTAGCCTTACCAATCCTAAATTATTCAAATCATGCCTAATTGTGTAAATTATCTCTCAACAAAAAAAAGGTGGGGATTAACTAAGACTTAACATTATCATTTTTAAAGATACTTCTTCCCCCATCTCTCCTTTTATTTCTGTCTGCTACACATTATTTATTTCCTCAAACATAGTCCTCAAAAGGGGAGCTTTTAAAGTATTAGTATATTTAAATGAACGTTCAAGAGTAAGTCCTAGGTAGTGCTGGGAATTTGCTGATGGCTTGAAACGTAATTAAATATCTTCACATAGATTTAATTCCATCATACAGTTCATAAGTTAGAAGCTAATCAAAATTATGTAAATTAGAGTGTAAATATATTTTCTTTTTCAGGTGGTGAAGCTACAAATTAGCAATGTATAATTTGTGTAAGATAACCCACCCAGCCTTGGGGGTGGAGTTGTCCATGTATTGCAACTTCTTCAACCACAGAGAGAAATCTCTCGTCGTCGCTGGAGCCAACATTATCAGAGTGTTCCGATTGGTGGCTGAAGTTCCAACACGGTCAAACAAAAAAGATGACAGAACATTAGGGCCTGCTGGTATACTATTATGTGTTATTTTGTTTTGAATACACTGTTTCACTAATCTATCACCAATATGTCTAAACCATCTGGTACTCTTTCCTCAGTCTTGTGGAGTGCAAAACTGATAAAATCCATCTCTCTGACATTTGTATTCCTTACTCTCTGTTTTCTAACACCACATATGCTTACTAGATTCTCAATGTCTTCTACTCTAAATATTGAATTTTCACATTTATTCCAATTCATCATCTTGTTTCTATAATTATGGGTCAGCTCTAGCATTCTTTCATTGAGTCCTCTGGCTGCACCTATTCTTACAATTTTTAATTGAGACTTTCATTGCACAAGCCAATTTCCCTTGACACTCTCGTTACTCTCAATGTTGCATACACAGATTCTTCATTTATCAATCACTCATCCCAGTTATTTAAACTGATCACTTCTAGCATTTCACCATTCACATTTATTTCACAATTTTCTTCCTTTTCCACCACTCTTAACTTATTTTGGCCCCGTTCACTTTTAACTGTTGCCTCACACACATTATTCAATTAGTGTTCATAAATCTCTTATCAGCAGTTTTCAACTTCTTCATATTTACACCTTCCATTAACTTTCTTATCTTGACCTAACTCATGACTCCTCCTATGTATATTTTGTATTGAAAAAGGGAGTAATATTACCCAATCCTGGCATACATTTTATCTTAGTATATGTTTAATGCTGTATGTTATTAATTAATATGAATTTCAACACTTTAGTAAAGTACGGTGTGATGGTCACTCAATATTGTAAATTCTGATTACAGTATACTAGTCAAAAAAAAAAGTCCAGCTTATGATATGTTTTTAGAGTAGGTCATTGCAAAGATAAAATTGTGCACTTCATTGTGTATAATGTAAAAATATTTCAAATTCTGTTAAGATAAATTAAATAGTTTTGATTAGACTTTTAAGTTTGTTTTACAGTATGTTGTGTTTTAATAATGACATAGTTGCCTTCTTGCAGATAACACTCCTCCAAAGGTGAAGCTAGAGTGTATGGCAACATACAAATTGCACGACAATGTGGCAACAATGGCATCTGTGTCACTCTCACCTTTGCGAGACTCGGTACTTCTGGGTTTTCGGGATGCCAAGTTATCTCTGGTGGAGTACGACCCATATAACCATCACCTGAGAACTGTATCACTTCATTATTTTGAAAAGGAAGATATCAGGGTATGATATTTTTTACCTAATTATTTGTAATTAGTTAGTGTAAAACAGAATAATAATTTTGAAAATGATGTTGCTGCTGAATAGGCAAAAGATAATTTTAGGTACTTAAAACAATAAGGATGTTATTGGTTATCACAATATTATTTTTTTGTGTGTCCATGCAATACTGAGGAATATTATGGAGATGACTATGTGTAGTGTAGAAAAATTAATAGAGTGGATGACATAATTTGCCAGAAAGTGAGAGGAAGCATTACTGTGCCAGTTGATTGGAAATGAAACCGATATACCACTATATAAGGGAAAATTTGGTGAATGTAAAAATTAGACGCATCCCTTTACCAATGGCAATGTGCTTATGAGACCCCTTGCTTTTCAATAAATATGTCCTGCTACATGTAATTATATTTTTTGCTTAAAAAAATTGTCACTACTGATGATAGATTTATGCTAAAGAGCTTAAAATTATACAGTACAGTATTTTAATTCAGGCATGCCTCTGTACATGCCTGAATTCTGAATGAGGGGCCTGACAGCTGAAGAGACAGCACTTCGGATTCGTAGCTCTGAGGTTCCAGGTTCGATCCCCGATGGAGGCGGAAACAAAGGGGCAGAGTTTCTTTCACCCTGATGCCCCTGTTACCTAGCAGTAAATAGGTACCTGGGAGTTAGATAGCTGCTACGGGCTGCATCCTGGTGATGTGTAACAAAAAGGAGGCCTGGTCAAGGACCGCGCCACGAGGACGCCAAGCCTCGAAACCATCTCAAGATAACCTAAAGATGCCACCTGCACAATTTGTGAAAGTCATATGGTTTCTTTGTCTTTAATCATGAATTTAAGGTACAGTGCATGATACATTTACTTGTGCTCCCAATTTTATTAAATCATTAAGATAATCTTTAAAATGTATCATTTTAGGAAAAACTCCATCAAAGACATTTCAGTTTTGCTATTTCATATTTAATTCCAGGGAGGATGGGTTCAAACTGTGACTCTCCCATTGGTTCGAGTTGATCCTGAAGGCCGATGTGCAGCAATGCTGATATTCGGAAGGAAAATTGTTATTTTACCATTTCGGCGAGACCTCACCACAGATGATATCGAGTATAGCACATCACACACTAGAGGTCCAGTCCTTCAGTCATACATTATTGACCCTAAAGATTTTGAAGCACCAAGTATTGATAATATTATAGACATGCAGTTTCTCCATGGATACTATGATCCAACACTCATGCTGCTTTATGAACCTATAAAGACTTTTCCAGGGTAATACTGAAATGTTTATTAGTCGATGAGCCTTTGTAAATGTTGAACGAATCTTATGATATATTGACATGAAAGGACCTTAATAAATGAATACAAATTCCTAAATAAATTTCTGCTGAAAATACCTTTCCTAATGTGTTAATCTTTTCAATAGGCGAGTCGCAGTACGTCATGACACATGTGCTTTAGCAGCCATCTCTCTCAATATACGACAGCGTCTTCATCCTGTAATATGGTCACTGTCATGTCTTCCACACGACTGTCAAAAGCTTTTACCTGTGCCCAAGCCTATTGGTGGTGTGCTACTTTTTGCATCCAATTCTCTCACGTATCTCACTCAGTCTGTTCCTCCATATGGTGTGTCACTCAATTCTATGGGAGACAAGAATACAAATTTCCCATTAAGTATGTGTTGATTTTTTCTGTTCTATTGAATAGTTTTGTTTAATATTGATTGACTTTTGAACTAGATTAAACACTCTGTGTTATATACTGTATTTAGAGTGTAGTTTTGAGCTAATGGTATAGAATTTTGTTTATTGATAATTGGCTTTTCCTAAATGCATGTGAAAACTGATTACTTTTTGTTATTAGGAAAGCAAGAGGGGGTGGTGATCTCATTAGACTGTGCTTATGGAGAGTTCCTCACAGAAGATAGAGTCGTCATCTCTTTAAAAGGAGGAGAGTTGTATGTCCTCACCTTGGTGGCAGACTCCATGCGATCTGTTCGCAGTTTCCACTTTGATAAAGCTGCAGCATCAGTATTAACATGCAGTGTATGTATCACATATTTGAATTTTAGAATTGAGTTATTTTTTAGAAATTGGTTTGGATTTGAAAAAGTGCCTGAAGTGAAAATCGTAGAGAAAATATATTATCTTTAAAAGAGTAATGAGTGTTTTATACTAAAAAATTAAGCACCAGTTACGTGCAGAAAGGCCAGAAGTGGAGTATGTATGAGAGATGTTTGTCAATCCACTAACCATGTTTTATTTCCATCTAAAAACAATATAGAGTAACTGCATCAAATTTCATATTTGCTGCCTGTTAAGGAGTTTGTGGTTTTGAGATGCCTTACTCTAGCAGGAAGCAGATGAATTTGGATAGAAAATGTTTAAATCTTTTTTATTTTGCTCTTAACTGATAAGTAACTTTCAGATGTGTGTGTGTGAAGACCAGTATCTGTTTTTGGGATCTCGTCTAGGAAATTCTCTCCTCCTGCGTTACACTGAGAAGGAGTTAAGTGATGCCATGCGATCTAGAAGTAATGTTCCGACTGATCAAGAGCCTCCAACAAAAAGGAAGAAGCTTGATACATTAGGTATGCTCTCTTAATGCATGTATTTCAGTTATTTTCTAAGATAACTTGGTATTGCTTCACTTGGTCCTATGTGCTCAAGAAATTCTATGAATGGGTTAAATAACTAAGATATATAATATATATTTAGTTTTACCTCTGACAAATATTATTTTGTTATGTCTACATTGTGATACACTATTACATTAATAAAATTACACACATTACTCTTTATTCACCTGCTATTTTGTTTTTGACCACATGTCAGCTGCAGTATGTCGCTCATTAGACAAAATCAGTGCTAAGTGTGGAAGTAGTCAGATACATCATATTCCAATGCTTGGCAACCGGTGATCCATGGTAATTGGAAAGGTATTTGAGTAGATTCAGTCATAATACTCAAATAAATGTTTGTATAACTGAAACATTAGGCTGATCAACTATGAGTGGCTGATCAAGATTTTCCCACTTGTTTTGTGTGCACTCATTGTATTGATAAGTAGTAAACTTGCTTGAAGTTATTGTTTTGAAGTGAATAAACTGTGTATTTTTCTTTTTTAATATAATCTTACCCTCTGCTGTCAAGGTGATGACTCGCCTTTGCTCCAACGGCAGTTTCAACTTGCGATTGATGCCGTGTCGTCCTAGGCCACCAATCATGGCTTCAAGTTCTCTCCGGCTAAGACTTGTGTTATGACCTTTTCTCGGAAGCAGGTCGTCCTTTGACCCCCTCTGTCGCTTTATGGTAATTCTCCTTTGTATAAGGATTCTGCTGAACTTCTGGGGCTAATCTTTTACATTCACTTGTCCTAGTCACCCCATATCTCCTACCTCCGAGTCGAATGCTCTAAGGCCCTTAGCTTACTTAAGGTCATGGCCATACTTCCTTGAGAGCTGATAGGTGCACACTCCTCTCTTTATATTCCTCTCTCATGCTATCTAAACTCGATTATGGCTGTACTGCTTACTCGTCTGCCTCTCCCTCCACCCTTCATTGTCTTGATGCTTTTCACCATACTGGGCTCCGTCTTAGCACTGGTGCCTTTTGTTTGACCCCTATCCAGAGCCTGTATGTTGAGATCGGCATCCTGTCTTTACAGGATTGCCGTGATTGCTATTATCTTTGTTACTTTGCACGGTCCCTTCAACACCCCTCACTCTCGCTTATGTCGTACTTTTATCATTACCCTGCCTGTGAACCCTGTTCCCTTTCACCACCTTTCCCTTTCTGTACGGTTGTCTCACTTGCAAGGTTCTCTCTCGGTTCATGTTGCCAATGTTTCTCCTCATGTCATTCTGTTCTTGCCCCCATGGAGGGTCCCTCTTCCTAAGTTTTGTAGTGCCTTGACCTGCTTGACTAAGGCTTTTACCCCTCCTACAGTTCTGAAACGCCTTTTCCTTGCTCACTTTTCTTCACACTCCCGCTCCATCTCCGTCTTCACAGATGGGTCTAAGTCTGCTGATGGTGTAGGTTACTCTTGTGTTTCCTGACTGCACCTATATGTGTTGCCTGCCTCCAGAGACTAGCATCTTCACAGCTGAACTTTATGCAATTTTGTTTGCTCTTCGTCAACTACTTTATCGCTGTAATTCTTCCTTTGTTGTTGTTGACTCGCAGTGCCCTCATGACTCTGGAGTCCTTTAATCCTGTCCATCCTGTGGGCGTCGAGATTCATTATTAACTGTTTCTTATCTCCAGCAGATTTAAGACAGTAGAGTTTTGCTGGGTTCCCAGCCATACTGGTGTTTCCTTAAATGAGCATGCAGACGCTGCCGCTAAGGAAGGTATCCGCACCTGTCCCATCTCCCGTAAAGGTATTCCTTATTCTGACTTCTACCCTGTTTTTCATTCCTCAATCCTTACCCGTTGGCAGGGTAGTTGGTCATCTGTTACTGGTAACAAGCTGCGTGCTCTTAAGGGTAGTATGTCCCCCATGGCCTTCCTCCTACCACCATAACCGGTGGTGGGAAACGGCTCTGGTGAGGTTACATATTGGCCATACATGCTTAACTCATGGGCACCTAATGGAGCGCCGCCCTGCTCCTTATTGTCCTAATTTCATTGTCCCTCTTACGATCGTGCATATCCTTGTTGAATGTCCTGATTTCCAGGATGTGCAAGCATCTTGCTTCCCAACTGTCCCTCACAGTCACCTGTCCCTCGGTAGTATCTTTGGTGAATTGGAAGCCTTTGATGTTGTTCTTGTATTGGCATCCTTAGTGATATTTAGCGCCTTCTGAATATCCCACACTTTTGACGGTGCTACATAGCCTCCCTGACTTGGTGCCTTCTTTTGATAATTACTTACTTTTCATTTTGGTATCAAATTGTTGGCAATCTAAAGGTGCACATTATAACACTAGTTGCATAATGATCGGATAAAAAAATATAATTTAAACAAATATTTTAAATTTTGGCACAACATGCATCACCAGCGGACATCCGTCAATTTATTTATTGACGCAGACTGTATCGCCGCCGTACGAAAGTGTTAACTCGCCAAAGTTATTTTATTATAAATATGGCTGAAGACTGAATCAATTTATGATTTATTAAAGTGAAATCAATAAAAATCTAACAAATGTCATGGTAAACAATTGCATGTATTGGAGGCATGATATGGTCTGTGTCAATCAGATATTTCTTTTATTTTTGGTACTGTATATTTATTTGCACTAAATTTCACATGAAATTTGTTAAAAGCCTAGTGCAGTAAAATCATTCCTAGGTCATATCTAATACTAAAGGAAACAACACTGATTTAGGCAAGGATCATTGTTAATTTAATTTTTGTAGCAGGTGAGAGGAAACATAAACTATAGCTGAAACGTCATGGCAACCAACATCTCTTTCTGGATCCTGTCGAGTGCACGTGTTTGACTAATATGGCTCACTCCAGCTCTGGGTTCCACAGCTTACCTGTTTCTTTAATAACAAATATACAGTGTCTCTAGAAACTGCTCAGACTGGTTATACATAATTTAAATTATAATTTTTTTTTTTATTTCAGGCGATTGGATTGCCAGTAATGTTGACGACATTAGAGACGATGATGCACTAGAAGTATATGGGCATGAAGATACCTCGACTGTCCAGTTAGCCTCATACAACTTTGAGGTAATAATATATTATTCCATATTTGCAAGTGAGTAATATTGGAATATAAAAGCGATGAGACTAATAAGGGAAGGTTTACAATTTTATTTGTTGATAATGCATCTTTCAGATACAAGAAACTTTACTAGATGAAATGATTAAATATCTCTCAGGTGTTGTAATGTGTGTTGGATCTTACAACATCAGTGATGTAAGATGTTTAAAATTGATGAGGTTTTGAATCACATATTTATGATAGAATCATCGGTTGCTTTGCTAACAGGAGTCAGCACAAGCCATATATCTGGCCACTCCGTGCCATTGATAAACAAACTATTTTTTTTACATTATTAATTTATAGTCACAATTGTATGAATTGGAATAAGCTGAGGTTTGGCTGAATGTAATGTAAGATGCTTCAGGTACCATCATCATTTTATGACCATCAGGTCTTGAGCTGCAGTATTTTTGTACAGGTCATGGACAGCTTATTGAATATTGGCCCTTGTGGTGACGTGGCAATGGGAGAGCCGGCTTTTCTAAGTGAAGAGTATGAGAACTCTTTGGATCCTTGTGTGGAATTGGTTACCACCTCAGGCCATGGCAAGAATGGAGCCTTATCTATCCTTCAAAGATCTATCAAACCACAGGTAAATGGAATTATTGTTTTCATGTGAATAAACTGTGTCAGTTTATTTTCACATTGCTCTTGGAGTTAAGGGAGTTGTCTTTGTATTTCAGTTTAGAAATAGCTATTTTTCACTTGTAGGAGGAATATTATTTGCAGTAGATCATTTTTGTGTGAATTAACTAGGTTTAGCATTTGCACTCTCTTAACTCAAATTGAGGAAGAACCATCAACTGGACTTCAAGACATGTTTTATTGGTGTCACGCTACAATATTGAATATCTGTGCTCCTGTAATTTTCAGCTATTTTTTATAAATTAAATTACAGTTGTTAGTAAGTATAGGGATGCATAGTTATTGATAACTATTTGGTTCTATAGATATGTATGTATATTTTTATATGCATTATTGTATATCACATGTAAATATTTTGCATGGAGTTGCACTTCCTTCATTTGCAGTTTTTTTGCAGTCATCAGAATGGCTAGTGAAACCCATATTATAAGTATATCTCATGAAAGAAGCATTTTTTGAATGTTGCTTGGTAATGATGTATTAGAGTAAGGATTAGATAAATCTCATAATGACTGTCATATATCTTTATTATTATCCACACTAACAGGAAGTTTGAGAACAGATGTGGTGAACCAGCATGTGTGTGTAGTATGACTGCCATATGTAAAATGCACATATGGGAACATGAACCTTTGTACCTTGTACTCTAAGCTACATCTGTTTTACTATATTAAATAGCATCTGTTAACAGGTGTTAACAACCTTTGACTTGCCTGAAGTGGAAGATATGTGGACACTGGTGGGGAAAGCAGATGAGCGTCGGAGAAGAGAGGGTGGCATCCAGGACCACTCGTACCTCATTCTCACTAGGTCAGACTCCTCTCTCATCTTACGTACCGAGGAAGAGATAAATGAACTGGAGGAGTCGGGCTTCAACACTACCTCACGGACCGTCTTTGCTGGTAATGTTGGCAACAACAGATACATTGTTCAGGTAGGTTTGTTTCCCCTATGAACAAATTCAGTCTGTTTTATATAAACTTTGTTCTTGTTGACAGGCACTGACCAGTGCATTATTTCCTTATCAACATATTATTTAGCTATTTCTGGCCACATTTAAATAGATCTGTTAATCATTTACAGTATTCTGTTACAGTATTTTAAGTCATCATTACCTTCACTTTGAATTTCTCATCTCTTACCAATACTTCATGCTTTTTTAAATCTACTTCCCTCACCAATGCTTGCCTTTTTTATCCCTTGTGTTGCTCCCATTACTCTTAGACGACATATTAGTACGTACTCTCATTGTTGTGAGAGTTACATCCAGTTTGACTTATTTATAAGGCATGTAATATGTATAGTTTAATTTTCTGTCCCTAAATGTCTGGTGATCATCCACTAGATCCACTGGGATGAAGTTATTAAACAAATTAAAGCAAGCCCAGCAAGTCCCTTGGATTAGACAGTATTTTTCAAGGTGCTTAAAGAATGTAAATCTTAGTGAGCCCTTGTCTTGCATATTTAATCAATCAATAGGGTTAATCAGAGTGCCTTTATTGTGGAAGGTTGTGAATATGTTGTTGATTTGTAAAAGAGATGGATTTCTTGCTTCAAACTATCAGCCAGTTTGCTTAATGTCTATAAGCAATAGGGTTTCATTCTTAAAGTATTTAGCAGATTAAGGTCCCTACTCTGTGTTTGTGTGTATATATTCCAAACTGTTCTCTGTCTGCTCTGTGCTGTAGAAATAAATACTTGTATTTTGTGATTTTCATTGTTACAAAAATTGATCTTTTCATTGTCAGGTGACAAGTGGGGGTGTGAGACTTTTGGAAGGTACAGTACAGCTTCAACATGTTCCAGTTGATGTTGGGGCTCCCCTTGTTGCTGCCACGTTAGCTGATCCTTACCTGGCAGTCTTAGCCAACGATGGCACTCTCATGATCTTCACCTTGGTCACAACGCGTGCACTGCCTCCGAGACTTATAACCAGTAGGCCAGTCAATACTGGGGTATGTTGTCAAAATCTCTTTTGATGTTTATTTTGCTATTTTATGCAGTTTAAAAAGGACATTGAATATGCTGTATGATTACATTTTTGTTCTTATTGTATAAATCAGTTACATAAATAATAAAAAGGGGATAATAAAGTAAGATATTTATAACATTTTATAGGCATCTCTGAAATTCCTTGTACTGGGTTACCTGAAAGTTACAATAGTTGTAGTTGAAGGTACAGTATAGATAAGTGCATTAGATGAAATGGAGCTAAATAGTCCAAAACATTCCTAATCTTTCCCACTGCTCAACTGAGAAGATGCCTGATGTTTCCCCCACAGCTGAATGCAAACATCCCTGGTCATTTCCATGGCTCAACCCAAACATCCCTGGTCATTCCCATGGCTCAACCCAAACATCCCTGGTCATTCCCATGGCTCAGCCCAAACATCCCTGGTCATTCCCATGGCTCGGCCCAAACATCTCTGGTCTTTTCCATGGCCTAGAGTACGACCAAAACATATTGAGACATTTACACCAGAGTAAATTGTGTTGTACTGTAATGTATTAACGAATCCATAAATTTTACACGAAAACATTTCAGTCATTTAACCGTTAACTAAACAGCAAAGTGCTGTTCCTAGTGATACCACAACAATTGACAGAGCAACATAGGTGGTCCTTGTGACACGAGTGATCTGGGAATACATCAATCAATGCATGCATAATAGATGATGATGATTCTTGGAACTACACTTCCTAAAAAGTCTCGCACAGGGAAACAAAGGGCCAAAAGAATATTAGAAAGCTTTCTTTTGCAAACAGTGGTAGATGGTTGGAACAAGCTAAGTGAGGTGGTGGAGGCCAAAACTGTCGGTAGTTTCAAAGCTTTATATGACAGAGTACTGGGAAGACGGGACACCACGAGCATAGCTCTCATCCTGTAACTACACTTGGGTAATTACACACACTGAAACACTTGATGCCAAATGTGCCGAAGTGTTAAGAGAGACCTCAAACCATTACTCTCCCTTGTGAAATAGATAGGAAGCTTTAGTGGTGTTTTGCTCATGAAAGATGGAAATACACTTCCTTCATTGTGACATAATCTCAAATAACACATTCTTGAGTAGAATCAGAAAGCCATTTTTTCTTTTTATCCACTTACCTGTAAATTTTGTTATTTACCTCGTGAAATTTTTCATTTTTTTTTTTCAGCTATATGTTATGAAATATTATGTTGCTGTTACTTAATGTTTTTTTCCTCCATTTTTCTTTTGTGTTCTAGAAATATCCTATACAAACTATATGTGCGTATTGTGATGTCTCGGGCCTGTTCACAACCCAGTACCCACAGGATAGAGAAAAGGATGCCAAAATCTTCAGAACAGATGCAGACATTAAAAAGTAAGTCATTAAGTAAGTAAGTAAGTCACAGGTTTGATACATTTACTATATAAATGTGTTAAGTTTTATTTGAAACACTATGCACAGCTTTTGTATGTACTGTATATTGCATTTTATTATTGTTCAAAAACTTACTTCATGTTTTAAAAAAGTCAGTAGTGGTAATTTTAAGGAAAGTTTTAGTGCCCCCATAAATGTTGATTAAATTTTCTTATTATTCTCCTTCTTAGGAGACTAGAAATATTGAGAATGTGATCTAAGACAGTTATGATAAATCCAAGAAAGTGCAAATGTAATTCAATGTAAAAACGTGGGAAAGGTTGACATAAATGTATTTTAGAAGTGCTTATGCTAGTATTTGTTATTTATCCACAGGGAGCTGGATGATGAAGATGAGATGCTGTATGGTAACACAGACATCTCTGTATTTGATCCTCCAAAGACCTTTGATCCTCAGGCTGGCCAGGAAAAGAATCAAAACAATTGGTGAGTATAAATTCAGTGCGCATGGGAGGACTTGACATCTACTAATAAAAAATGACTTCATTTGCCAAGAGAGAGAGAGAGAGAGAGAGACTCTCCATACCAACATCATTGACAATTCTTGGAAAATGACACTGATGTAACATTATCAACACTGAAAATGTGGATCCAACATTGGCTGTTTTGTCTGCTGGGAAGGATAGTCTAGACTACAAAGGCAATTTTTAACAAAATGCATCTTATAATCATGCTAAATATTATTGAATTAATAATTAGTCATCAGGTATGAAAATAAAATTAATTAACCTTTTGTAGCTGCTGGTGATTAATTGATTCCCCAAGTCAGATGGAACCAAATAATGACCATTTACCAGCTCTGCATGTATTTTGCATCATATTGTGCATTTACGAGTATGATACATGTGACAGTTATGCTATTCCTTGGGAGAAAATGTCTTGTCATCTGTCCAATAGCAAAACAGAAACATTTGTGTGATAAACACTTTGTCAGTGCCAGTAGGTTGTCAATACATGGGTATCACAACTTTCTATACCTTTGTCGTATGCTTTTTGAGTCTGTGAATGCCAGGTACATGCACATCTTTCTCACATGCCATGTCAGCAAACTTTCTCAATGCCAATATCTGAGCTATAAATGTTCATCCACCACATACCTTGTTCATCGCAGACCAATTTCTCTGTAATTTCCTGCACGCTTCCTATCTGTATTGCGACATACGGTTTGCCAATAACTCCTATCATTTTGGCAGTTAGTCTTTGTAAGTTAACAATTTGTTAAGGATTTTCACACACTGATAGATTGAATCTATATATTATGTGTCATAGCTTTTATAATTTTATGGATTATTCTTGAGCAATTTCTGTGCCATGCCATATACTGGAATTTGTTAACACATCACCCTTTTCAGCAGTTTCTAGTTCAATGGCAGTTTTGTGAATTATTATTCTTCACTAATTCTGTGTTACAGGTGGAAAAAATGGCAAAAGGAAGTTCGTCCAACATACTGGCTGGTAGGGGTGAGGGAGAATGGTACGCTGGATATTTACACCCTTCCAGATTTCAAGCTTTCTTACAGTGTCAGAACTTTTTGGGTTGGTAAGTGTTATGTTTTGGAAGCACTAGTTGTATTTGGAAGTCTTTTCAGCATCATCTTAATGTTACTGCTCTTGAGCAACTTTAGTATATTTTGTGAAAACAATGTAAAACCATTTCCTGGAGATGTAAGAGTCTGTATGTGGCATAAATAAGTGATTATGAAATGGAAGACGTCCTTTCAGCTGCCCATTAGTGAAGGTCTGAATATTTCTTCTTATTTTTAACTATGTATAAGAAAGACATGAACTTTTTCTAATAAATGAATTACTAATTTTTCAGGTCACAGGGTTTTATCTGACAGCAGCCAAAATATTCCAGTGCCTGAGATTCCGACTGCTTATGATAATCCTCCTGTTGTCCATGAGGTACGTCTTGAGGTTTTGTACATGTTCAGTTTATAGGTAAACTAAGAGAAGAATATATGGTACAGTACTTAAATGATTTTAACAATACCAGGAATTTACAGGGGCATTTTTATGCGAGTAGCTTCTCTAGCTTAACTCTGGATCATCCAACACATCAAGCTTCCAAAATCCAAATGAAAAGGCAATGTGAGGTAGATTGTAGGTTCCACCCATTTCTCTCTTCCGTGTCTGTCTGCTGTGTTGGTTTCCGATGTGATATCTTTCCCGCTCTTCACCTCACATGCCTCACAAGCGATATTGGCCTGGATTCGAGTTTTGAGCAGGGGCTTGCCCTAATGACACCGAATGTATAACAGATTTACAAAATGGAGACCTGATTCAGTTCCAAAACAGTGTATTCACCTTACATTACACCTAGTGTATTCACCTAATTGTTCACCTAGTTGAACAATAGCACAGTGTGGCACTGTGCTGCTGTTATTACTTGTGGCGATGTCTAATGACTGAGTGATTGTTATTTGGGGAAATTGGAAAATTTCAGTCATTTTTAATTTGATATTGTTTGCAGGTGCTGTTGGTTGGAATGGGTAACAGGAACCTGAGGCCAGTGCTGTTGGCAAGAGTTGATGAAGACTTGCTCATGTATGAAGTGTTTCCTTTTTATGAAAACTTAACCCCTATGCAGCTCAAGATTAGGTAAGTTGAATATTCTGTATTGTTGTTGTTTATGTATGGAAATTTGTATTTCACATTGCATTATCATAGTATTGCATTAAACTTGTTACCAGTGTGTTTTTGTACTTTATTATGCTGCTGTTACTACAAAAGGTAGAGCGATCCTCTGCACTTTGATGGGTTATAGCATAATCAGGCTGGTCATCTGGGAATAAGCCACCTGGCTAGGACGACAAATATTCTAATGAGTCTGTTATCAAATAGTCCAGCTCCATAATGCAAGTGACTGCTGAAGGAAGCCCCAACTGTCCTAACTAGCAGGCGATGAGTCACAATAACGTGGCTAAAGTAAGTTGATCAGACCACACACTAGAAGGTGAAGGGACGACAACGTTTCGGTTAGTCCTGGACCATTCTCAAGTCGATCGACTTGAGAATGGTCCAGGACTAACCGAAACGTCGTCGTCCCTTCTCCTTCTAGTGTGTGGTCTGGTCAACTGTCCTAACTAGTAATCAAAACACCCACTTTATTATTGTATAGACTTTGTTGAGTGCACTGTTTACATGTACAGTATTGTAATTTATGAGTACTTGCAGCCCTACATGAGTGTGAATTTACCTGTAAGCAGTAGCTAGTTCTCTATTTTGAAACTGGCATATTTCCACACCTGGGCTTGCCTGTGACTCACATGAGTACTCTTGGTCAAACTGCTTGAACTGGATGATATTGATGCACTTGCTTCTTGCAAGTTAGCATTCAATCCCTGACCATCTGAGCATCCAAGTGGTTGGGCACCCTTCCTTTCCTCGGTCCTATCCCAAATCCTTAGCTTCAGTCCTTCCAAGTGCTATATAAGTGCTTTCTCCTGATAACTGATAACTTTGAGTTATGTTGATTGGGCAAGTGAGTACCCGCTTTTGATCCTTAGTATTTTTCTGAACAAAGAGTGAAAAAAGCCAACTTTTGTAGGTATCTAGAATCTTATCCTATTTTTCCCATATATCTTTTAGTTCAATTGGTAAATTTTTATATTTGCATGGTTTTTGCAAGACTGTAACTGTAACACAAATTGAGGGAGCGGCAGCATAAAGGACATTTTTTAGAAGCTTGAAACGTACTGTGTGCAGTCACCAGTTATTACTAAAATGATTATTGCCTTAATGTCAAACATTAAGTAATATCGGTCGGCCGAGCGGAGGAGCTGGTCGGCCGAACGGACAGCACGCTGGACTTGTGATCCTGTGGTCCTGGGTTCGATCCCAGGCGCCGGCGAGAAACAATGGGCAGAGTTTCTTTCACCCTATGCCCCTGTTACCTAGCAGTAAATAGGTACCTGGGTGTTAGTCAGCTGTCACGGGCTTCTTCCTGGGGGTGGAGGCCTGGTCGAGGACCGGGCCGCGGGGACACTAAAGCCCTGAAATCATCTCAAGATAACCTCAAGATGTTAATTATGTAACTCCATCCTGAATATCAATATTGATTTACCTGTAGTTTTATATTAGCTTTTAAATCATTTAATGTGAATATTCATTAGATTGCTTTCATTGTTTATTTGGCAGAATGAGGTTAATTGAACACAACTTGATCTTGCGTGAGAAACGCTCTAGCAGGAATAAGAAGAGGATGGAAGAAGAAGGGTTGCAAGAGAAGAAGATTGATAGAGTGTCCAAGTTGCGCCCCTTCAGCAGCATTAGTGTATATAGCGGGGTAAGCACTAGTAAGGTGGATGTGTAACTTAGCACCTTGGACATCATGGCGTGCCCTCGTGGCCGTAAAGGTTACAAGAAGTGTGAAATATTGATTGATAAGTGGATGAATACATGAACAACTGGGTGTATATTTACATTCCAGGTATTTATATGTGGCCCATACCCACACTGGATATTCATGACTGTACGAGGGGAGCTGCGTTACCATCCTATGAGTGTCGATGGTTCTGTCAAGTGCTTTGCTCCCTTCAGAAATGTCAACTGTCAGAATGGCTTTCTGTACTTTAATCGTAAGGTAAGTTAACAAAATATTGTTGTTTATTATTCACTAATTTCGTGCTTTAGTAATATGGTATCAGTGATTATGACCAAACCACTCATCAGAAAATGAAGAAACGGCAATGTTTTGGTCCATTCTGGACCATTATCAAGTCATGTGACTTGATAATGGTCCAGGACAGACCGAAACGTTGTTGTCTTCATTTTCTAATGTGTCGTTTGTTCATATCTTCAGCCACGTTATTGTGACGCGTCTGCATCAGTAATGTCTTGGGTGCTCCAGAGAGAATAAGAGGCTGAAGACATTAATAGAGAGAAGAGTGCTATATTACTGTTTATTCTCACAGAAGCAGAAATGGGTCATTTTAAGAATATACAGTAATGGTTAACTATGTATTTTAGTATATTTTAACTTATAACTTATACTAAACAATATATAACCCTATAACTTGTACTGAACAATATAAGAAACTAGATAGGTTAAAGGAACTTTTCTCAATCTTTATGCAGTTGAAATAATTGCTGGGCATACTTTAGATAAAAACATGTGGATTTCTCTGTCAACTGAAAGGAGGTGATTTCTGTCTTTGCTCTTTTAATAGTTAAATGAGGAAAATTAAAGCAAAACAAAGACTAAAAAATAAATTTGCATATGATTAGAATTAGCCTATTTATCACTCTCTCTTGTGGAACCACATTTGAGAAACTGGATATTTTGGATATCCTGATATTCAGAATCCTGGATATCCTGATATCCAGAAAAAATAAGTATGTAATTAAGTAATATCCAGAAAAATCAGTAAATAAGTATATCCTGATATCCAGAAACACTGAATATCCTGATGAAGTGTGTTGATCAGGGTTCATTAAAAATACAGCATTGAATACACAAAGAAAATGGTGTATAAAATATATTTTAATAATTCATTGTGCCGGGGGACAGGCAGCCAGTATATACATGCAGTACATGTTAGGCTTATATTGAGGTCCCCCCTCCACCCCCCCCCCCCTTCAGGGTTGAATTACTGACCCTTCCCCAGGATACAACCCTCCACAACAAGCTGACTCACTCCTGGGTACTTACTGCTAGGTGAACAGGGTATTAGGTGATAGGAAACTCGCCTAACCATTTCTGTCCCGCCCGGGATTCGAACCCGGAATTCTCTATTGTGAGTTGAGAACGAACTCAACTGAACTACCGGGACGCACATCAGAATTATTTTTAAACTCATGGATGGATAAATGATAAAAATTGTTTTCTTGATGTATATAGAACTGAGTAAGGGAAAGCACCAGATAAACTGTGCTCATATCACTAAAAGGTAATCAGTAAATTAAAAAAGGTCTAAAGATATACTACTGAATGTCTTCTGGAGCTCAGACACAAAAGCTAGTAGACAGAAGCCCAGAACTCCATCAACCAGGTATCAACCAGGAAGGAAATGAGGCATGATGTTCACCATGAACAAACTGGTGATAGGAATGAACTAAATTTATAAGGAGGAATTTTAAACAATCTGCAACTTGGAGACCAAGATGCCATAGAATTGAGCTAAAAATATAAAGGTGTTGAAAAAATTTGCATAATTTCCCCTTTGCAAACAGTGGTAGATAGATTGAATGAATTGAATGTGGGAAGTATGGTAAATGCCAAGGCCACGAAAAGCTTGAAAATTTTATATGACAAACATTACAGGGAAGTCTGTATACTACAAGCATAGCTTTCATAGTGTAAATACACTTACATAATAAAAATAACACTTAAGTATTTATGCACATACAAGTGTTCAGTTTGATGAAGTTAAGGATGCCTTGTATTAACATATATTAGTTTATAAGGTCCTCCAAACTGGACAAGTTATTGTTCTCACTGAGCATTACCTTAATATACAGTATTTTGATATACTGCACTGATACATGATCACAGTTTGAAAACTGATATCTTCTGGCAGCTCAAAGTGTTTCATTTGTTTAAAGTTTGAGTTCAACCATCCTTACAATGTTTCAGAATATGAATATTCTCACCACAGTAACCTGAAAACAAGCAAGGTGCATGGAAAAAATATTATATGAAATACATATGTATCATTTGAATATGGTATTCCTTCATGTCAATAATAGTTACTATCTGCTGATATTAATTATAGAGAACCTGTTCAATGTAGCAAGTTATGTTTGTACACAATCTAAGTCCTCTCCTTAACCTCCTGGTGCGTTTCACTTTAGATGCGTGCTCTTCGTTTTCTTCGGTATCACTGTTATTTACATCAGCTTGTCGTTTGTTAGTCTTTATAGGTTCTTCAGAATTTGTGCTGTGTTTCTTCTGAAGGTTTTCATCATTTTCTTCATGTACTGGTGAGGTATCTTCTATCTTCTGTCGTTTCCATTCTGGTGCTTCACTCGAGTCCCTGGTAATAGTGTCACATTTCACTTGCTTTATCTCGGAAGAATTTTTGTTCATATTTGGAATGTCTTCATCATTATTATTGCTGTGATCTTCAGGAGTATCGTTGGTTGTGTGTGTGGGTGAATTTAGAATTTGAAGAGGTGTGTTCTCTGGAATTGCAGACTTTTCACCATCTGAGCTGGATGCTAAAGTATCTTTGTGTGAAGTGGGTGACACGACAGTAGTTTCTCTGTCATAGAGGCTGAACTTGGCAAAGAGACGACTCATGGCTGCCACAGTAATACGCTGTCTTTTGCATGATGGAAGAGTCTGTACAGAGAAATACAAAAATTTACAACTCAAGGACATGCCTTAAACATATAATATTATCAGTTGACCAGACCACACACTAGAAGGTGAAGGGACGACGACGTTTTGGTCCGTCCTAGACCATTCTCGACTTGAGAATGGTTCACAATCGACTTGAGAATGGTCCAGGACGGACTGAAACATCGTCGTCCCTTCACCTTCTAGTGTTTGGTCTGGTCAACTTACTTTAGCCACGTTATTGTGACTCATCGCCTGCTTAATATTATCCCATCTTAATCTTAATTACTAACTGTATCTGTTGTGAATGGTAAGTTTAATGTAATATAGGAAACTACAGAACCTTGATTTCCATTTCCATGCAACAATTTGGTATTTAAAGGCTATTTTCCTGAGTCCTGGAATTTCAACCTGATTGCAGTTGTTGCACTTTCTGATCTGTTGTTTAAATACATGTTGTGGGATGCACATTTAAGTGTTTATGTGAGCAATATATTATTACTGTATAGTGTACATCAGCATTAAATATAACAGCTTTACCTGAATATACTGAACTCAGAAAATACATAGATTTTAGCCAGTTTATGATAAAAATACTTAAAATGTATTACTTATAATGAATGTTAAATTTGTAACCTACAGTAGTGTATGAGTGGAGATGTCGTTTTACCTCCTCATAATCTGAATCGTCTGATTCATTGTTCTCTCTCAGTAATGATGATTTCCTCTTGAGATGTGAGGCATCTTTGCAGCACGCTTCCTTATTCTCTGTTAACAAGATATAAGATATGCAATAATTAAAATTCAAAGTCATGGTGATCCATTCCTTGTCTTTTTATATTAATAGTTCAGAAACCAATTATTTGAGTTTAAAAATATAAATTAGTAAGTACTTTTTAATTTTGTGTCTTAAAATACTATTGTTTTAATTACAAACTTGAATGGTGGAATAAAGAGGCTATTGAAGAAGTTACTGCAAGAAAAAGGAGGGAGAATATCCAGGTGGGGACGCTGAAGGGAAGGAGAACAAGGATGCTGCAGTTTTTTTTTTTTTTTTTTTTTTTTTTTTTTTTTTTTTTTTTTTTTTTTTAACCACAAACGTGGCCACACATTTGCAATACTTACCAGCATATATACATTTTCTTTTGTCTTCCATGGACAGGGTTAAAGATGTGTTAAACATATAGTTCAAGGGTTTATTGAACACTCAACCACAGAAGGTGATTCGGTTTAAAATGCTAAGCTAACCTACATACGTAAATACATAGATACACAGATTTACGTATGCCCTACATAAAGTGTTAGATGTGTCTTTTACATAGTGTCATTAATGTACATTCACAAAGGTGAAGTGTAATTCTGATCAGCTTCCATATATACTTTATACCCATACATATACATACCCACACACACATATACATACATATACACACACACACATATACATACATATACACACACACACACACATGCATTCACATACATTTGTCTCATTTACCCTGACAGGGTGAGGTAGCTGATAAAGAAACTAGTGTGCAATTAAGCACTTACTCACTGAAGGTGATGAAGGTGCCTTTACAAGCTCAGGTTATATAGTTACATCATATATATACATTGTATGATTGATACATTACATGGTCAATCTTGGATACAAGTCCAATATATCATCAAGTGTTCCAGTACTCATATAGTAACTACAGAGTTCAGCATACCTTAGCCCAGGAAGGCGAAAGTCAGTCAGTATGGGACATTCTACAATATAATGTTCAAGAGAGTGCATGTTTTCTCTTTCACAAAGTTGTTGGAGGAGTGAGAGGCAGTGTTTGGAGTAGGATAGCCCTATGGACTAAACAAGCATTGTAATTTCATGATTTGTAGTAAATATGAATAAATATAAAGTGCTTATTCATTTATAAATTAAGATGAGTCATTAGCTGCACTGTACATCTTATTTATAAAAAAAAAATACAGTTCTGAAAGGCATTTCAAATACTGGTACAGTATGTTTTTGATAGTAGCATAGTGGTCTGTAGAGTATACAACTTACTCACCTGAGTCCGCTGCTTCAGGGTGTATTGGGGTTGCAGCTCCCTGTGCTGACCAACTTGGCCAGTGTGGCACGATGCCTCGGAAAAGCTTTTTCAGATTAGATTCTCTTGTTGAGGACTCGTGGTTGCTCTCGGCCATAATGCTGAAATATTGTAAAGATAATTTAATAATTATCGTATAGTATAATCTTTATTTATTTTTATAGTTGAATTTACAGTTAAAGAAGATGATTATTGTTTTTAGCTGCATATTGTTTGTTCTGCTAATCTTGTGGGATTCACTTCTTGAGCCCTTTCTGTATCTGTAACATTTTCCATGAACACCCAAGGATAGGTATGGGGTGTATAATAAGTGAACTAAACTATGAACTTCAGCTTATCTATTAATTTTGATATTATCACAGTTGGAAAGCACATTAACATTTTGGTATCCCGATGACGCATTATGCGCCATAAAACCAAAACACACAGAGTGAGTGTTGACGCAGACGTTGTCATGCAATAATTTTTGCTTAGTCTTATTATTAAGTACAAACTTTGTGAGTGAAATAGTTTAACATTGGGTTGTGTGCTCACCAGGAATGCTCAGCCTACCTTCCGGTGCAATTTGGGTGCCCCGCCGGGCGTGCCAAAGTGTTAAGAAGTAACATACAGTTTTTTGGTCAGTACATCTATGCATATAGTTAGATTCATGCAGTATTAAAAACTGATGTCCGTATAAAATAATTGTACGTTAGTAGCTCAATTGCAATTTTAAAAGTGGGGTCCAGCTGCCTGGGAAGTAGCTTCTTCGGAAACCAGTTTGTGGACATACATTACTCTGGAATATTATTACTATTCTACAGTATTCCAGGGAAATTGCTCTTATCATAATGTTTAACTTTATTATCCTCTCTTACATTTATTGTAGGCCCAGAGAAAGCAGGTAATTGGGCTTTAGTTAATTTATAGAAAATACTGGTTTTAGGTTATATAATTGTAGTGAAGCATAATGTAGTGGGTGTACGAGTTCATTTCATATTGTGGACAACAGCAGGGCCCAACATGGCTTGTGTTCTTGGAGACGTCTTGTAAGAATTTGATAAAGAACTGTACTGACAAAATAGAGTAAGTTGAGAATTGATGAGCCAAATGTTGTACTCATCTGAAATGAGTATTGTTAATAAACAGTCATAGGATTTAAGGTAAACAAAGTACCATCAGTGAACTAATCATCCACTGCAAAGAACTCATTCCTTCCTCACCTTGCCACTTGTCACAACTACCAGCACTGTCATCACCCATTGTTCTTAACTCTTGCTGTGATTGGCTGCCACTATCGCTTTGCATTGTCTGTATTTTTAATGGCTAATGATTTCAAAACTAAATTCCCTTTTCTCTATTAATTTCAAAGTTTATTACGTGTATCAGTATTTTGTGTGTGAGGGGGCAGGGGTGTTGTAGAAATCATTATTCGGCTATTTGAAAATTTTGTTTTTTAGCCTCAGGGCTGAGGTTTCCTAACAAAATATTTAGTAAAATTGCTCAAAATAACATAATTATTAAAAATATCATGCTTTGAGTGAACATAAAAAAAAAAGGAATCCTTGCGAGGAGGAGCGAGATGTTCCATAAGGCAAGATCATACTGAACAGGATCGCAATAGTGATGACAGAATAACATTCTGCCATGACATATATAGAGTACAGTATACTGTGTAATTCTTCGTCATTTTTCACTTGGAATGCCGCAACCACAATAAACTACTATAATGAATGTTCGATCAGGGAAACACACTGGTTAGCTTTTAATGTCTCACAAGTTGCCTGTTTTACATACTTAAGAGAACTACAGTTAATTACAAACATGGCAACTCTCAGTCACATGCCTTGAGTGCTGGGGAGGCAAGGGTGAAGAGAAGGTACTGGTCTCCATATACATTCCATATACATTCTCCACACCTAACACACACAAAATACACAGAGTAATCACACTAACATGACTGCATCAATGAAAAAGTCCATAAGAGTTGTGATAAGGGTTCTAGCGACTAACATGGTCTAGTCGTTGAAGCGCGTGTGTGTGGGAACATCCACCGAATAGGTTCAAACCCTCATCACGGCTCCTACACAATTTCTCGCAAATTCAATCATGTTATCTCTCATATATCCAGAGGCTCTCTGCAGTATTTGTTTTGATAACCACAGTAAAAAAGTCCTTCATATTAGAGGTGAATTTACAGTTCTTGTAAGTTAACCCTTCTTGTAGGAAGGAATATCCATGATGCAATGTCGCTGTTGTGGCCACAGTTGTGTCTTGTTCACTTAATAGGCATTTCCTTATTGCTTTGTTGGTTTACCACTGCATCCTCGCAGGGCTGAAAACACAGCATGATTCAAGATAATCCATCACTGATCCACTTACTCCATCTTAGTACCAGGTAACTCAACTACAGAATATCTTTGGGACTGACTAAATAGCAGGTTGCCCTATGGAATCTTATCTTTCAGTCCACTGTACAAACTGCAGACTTCCGTCCCAAGTCAGCCATTGCAGACTTCTTGCATGTCGTCTTGCTATACTACAGTAACAGTGGCTCAGGGTTGCTTCAGTGGCACTTTTTAACTAAAGAATTCCACTCTCATTTTGTTTCAGAAAACCTTGCAGGGCACATTTTGCATGTTAATTTGTTATGCTACCAGCCTCAATAATTATTTGGAAGTGCTTTAAAGTCATTATATTAATTTACTGTAAAGCAATGTATTGTTTGTTATATATGTAAAATACAAAAGTAGTCATTACTTACATGATCAGATGCAATGAGAAGAACTACAGATGAACGCAATCTGCCACTTTTAGTTGCTGACAGTATTGAATAAACCAAGCACTGCTTGTTTGTAAGCATCACAGACAGTATATCTTGTAATCAGCACATCTTCACGAGTTTATCCACAATGATTTCACATGTTTTATTGGTTGATATTTATTGCCACTTAGCTGAAGTGATCTGGTGTAATTTATTGCCGATATTAATGTTTAGTGTTGGGAATGGTTACATTTTACACATCTTCACTTACCAATAACTTCCACAGGAGTATATCAGATTGTCTTTATTATTTGTTTTATTTAGACATTTATTTAATATTCATATAATACTGTATGAACATTTAAACTAAATAAGGAAGACTTGAAACCATTTTCCTGAATAACCACAGCAGGACAAGCTATTTTTTGTTATTGATGGCAGAGTGACACATTTAACATTTAAGAGGAAAGGCAGCTCACCAGAAGCCAGTGGGCAGTGCACTTGTTTTTGTTGTGTGTTGAGAGCGGGAAGACAGCTTCTTGGGTGCGGGGATTGTCTATTTTTACTCCTCTCCACCATACTTGGCATGTTCTGGCACAGCTCAACCCCCCATTTTCTCTTAATTGGGGACAGACTTCATCAAATACTGTGCTCTCTTTCCTTGTAATTTTAATTATGTCAGTATAAAACACTTATATTCTTATTATAAACTTGATTTTAAAATACAGTACAGTACATTAGGAGTCTTGTGCCTGTAGGAACCTATTCCACCACAAGAAGGTGGAAATGCAAGTAAGGCTGTTAGGTAAATTGATGGGAATATTATGAAGATCTCCTAGTTTATTCTCATGTAATCTCTTCCAGGAATCTCTGAGAATCTGTTTGCTACCCACAATCCTGTCCTATGATGCTCCCTGGCCAGTGCGCAAGGTGCCTTTAAGATGTACTCCTCATTTTATTGTACATCATTTAGAAACCAAAACTTACTGTGTTGTCACTTCAAGCTCAGAACCAACCCTCAAGATCTGGAAGTTTAATGGAGATGATAAGGTAAGAGCTGATGAGTCCTGTTTTTCATCTATTTATTACACTTCATGAACAGTACACTTAGGTAAATACTGTGCCAAGAAAGATGTCTAATAGTCTTGCATTTGGAAGTACCAGAGTGTCTTTCTGGGAAAGAAGCTTTTCATGTTACCAAGAAACCTGATTTTGACATATCCAGTGGCTTTCAACCAGTCTGTTGAATATTCTCTTATCTATTGTTAATATTTTACTAGATCCCAATAGTGTTCTCCCATTATTTATGGATATTTGAAAGAATATAATAATTTTTAATCAAAATATACTAAGTACGCTCTAAACGTTATCAGGAAGAAGTGATCGAGGAGAGAGATGAGCGATTCATACAGGTGCAGGCGCCCACATTCTCCATCCAGCTTTTTTCTCCTGTGAACTGGCAGGTAAGTATTTATTGCATATTGAAAATGCTGTCTAAATTTTCAATTTTGTTGTTTATCAAAACAGTGTTTATTTACCACTTCGATTGCCTTGATTGCAAAATTAGCCATTTAAATTAATATCTCCCCATATCTTAATATCTTAAACTATATTGGGTCTTTTTATCTACTGTATTTTCACATTGGCTTTGCATCTTGGTACAAGTGCACTTGTACTCTACTACTCTTACTAGTATGGAGTCTTCTAATTGGCTGGGGTCCACACACTGTCTAGGCCACCAGCCGATCAAATGCCCAGCCACCTCCACTGGACTTGGCTCATAAATGCCTTCAGCTGTTGGGTGTGTTTTCGTTAGTTCGTTCTTGACTCACAATCGAGAATTCTGGGTTCAAATTCCGGGTGGGACCGATATGGATGGGCGTGTTTCTTATCGCTTAATGCCCCTGTCCACCTGGCCATAAATAGGTACCCAGGAGTTAGTTGGCTTGTTGTGGGTTGGCATCCTGGGGAGGGTAAGTAATTCGACCCTGGAGGGGACCTTGATATAAGCCTAACATGTAATGTATGTATAAACTGGCTGCCTGTCCTCCGACACAACTAATTTTATAAAATGCCTATAGAGAAGATCCCACGTGTGGCCGCTGCTGCTGAAAGACAGCCTCGGAGAAAGAAATATAAATACTGTTTACCCAGTAAATTTCTTGCTCGGGACATTTTCAGAAATTTAGATTTATTGACCTTAAATTTGTAATTATATTTATCTTAATGGTTAAAATCTCCTTTTCAGTGCAATTTGTTTTGTTGTTAGATTGACTTTAATGAACATTTTGTTTGATGTAGATGATTCCCAACACGGACTACTACTTGGAACCTTGGGAACACATTACTTGCTTCAAGAATGTTATCCTGGCTTATGAGGGAGACAGATCAGGTCTCAGGGGCTACCTTGCTCTTGGCACAACATACTGGTGAGTTTTAGAGTTCTGTATAAACTAATGATTTTGATCTACCTTGACATAGGTATATTTGAAAAATATTTTTTTTTTTTTTTTTTTTTTTTTTTTTTTTTTTAGCCAAAATAGAATGGGAAAGTTTGTTGAGCTCTTGTGTTAAGCTGCTGCTGCAAGTAAGAATGCACCTTTCTTTGGATATGGCTTGTGCAGTTAGACATACAGCACAGTACCATAGGGTATCTTCAGGCCTACTTGCTGGGTCAGCGTGTGCTGAGGAAGACACAGGTGTACTTACCTAGTTGTGCTTGCGGGGGTTGAGCTCTGGCTTTTTGATCCCACCTCTCAACCATCAATCAACTGGTGTACAGGTTCCTGAGCCATATCTACACTTGAAGCTGTGTATAGAGTCAGCCTCCACCACATCACTTCCTAATGCATTTGTCTACTATTCTGACACTGAAAAAATTCTTTCTAACATCTCTTTGGATCATTTGGGCACTCAATTTCCACCTGTGTCCCCTAGTGAGTGTGCCCCTTGTGTTAAATAGTCTGTCTTTATCTACCCTATCAATTGCTCTGAGAATCTTGTATGTGGTGATCATGTTCCCTCTAACTCTTCTGTCTCCTAGTGATGTGAGGTTTAATTCCCGTAGTCTCTTCTCATAGCTCATACCCCTTCAGTTCGGGTACTAGACTGGTGGCAAACCTTTGAACCTTTGAGCAACAATATTAACATTACCGGATTTTTTACTTGAATTCATCTTCCTTCATTTCTTGCAGATGTGCAGTGTTAGTTGATTCTTGTTCTATTGGCTTATGTTGTCACAATGTTATATGCTTTAGTAATTCTTGAGGATCATATATAGTTTAAAACCTTACACTCGTGCAGTGCACAAACTTAATGGTTTCGGGAATGCTGTATGGCGTTATTATGAAAATATCCTTATCAAAATTATCTCCGATTCTGTCTTTCTTTCCACATATAATCTCTATTATAATTAATCTGTCCAGATGGAAATTTTAATTTGTGCTTTTCCTTCCTGTATTTCATATATTTCTATCATGTGATAACTTAATTTTCAATAAATTTTGATTACACATTAAATTTTCAGTTTTGGTGAAGATATTACTTGCCGTGGACGTATCCTGATCTTTGATGTTATTGACGTAGTGCCTGAGCCAGGTCAGCCACTCACCAAAAACCGTCTCAAAATGTTGTATGAAGGAGAACAGAAGGGACCAATCACAGCCATAGCCCACTGTCGAGGACTCCTTGTGACAGCCATCGGACAGAAGGTTAGGCGAAAGGAAAGTTAGTGCAAGCTTTAAAGAATAATAGATTTAGTAACATTAAGTAGGAGGGTAATAATATGTTGAAGAGTGCCAAGAAGTTTGGAAATTGCTGTTTCTCAACACTTATCTGTTTATTTACTAAATAAATAAAAAGGAAGAATTTGTTTCACTTTGTCATTTCCCAAAGTGAGTCTTTTTGCACTTGTCAAGTGTTTACAAGAACACTTCAAATACTGCTGCACTGAGCAAGGTGTGGCCCACACTATGTTCATTTTTCTTGTCGGCATAGTTTACTGTCATTTCACAAACTCGCTCCTTGCACATATTTTTCTACTAATTATCTGCTATCAGAGACTATAAAAGGTAAGTGGTGTCAGCTGTATTACTTGTTGAGTGTTAGGACAAAAATATTCAGGTAAATGAACAGGTGAACTAGGATGAACATTTTATTTTAGTCTTTGAGTTAGATGAAAATTGGACTTCAGAGATGATTATTACCCCTATTCCCTAAAGTATGATCAGCTGTGTTCTTGGAAAGGATAATGCACAACCAGGCTGAATGATATACTTCATCAGCTCCACATGAAACTTTTCAGATTGTGTCTGCAGGATGTTAATGTTTTGGGGAGTCACTGGAGAAAAATCAGTTGAGCTGAAAATGACTGCATAGGTCTTTTCTTAACACTGAGTGCTACAACCACCAGTATCACACAGTGACCTCCAATGAGAGCTTAGGGCAACTACCATTTAGCCCACTTACATTCTTTTGCCAACTGCCACCAGGCTGGAGCTTGATACATTCAGTCCAACATGCAAACTTCCCAGTTCAATGTTGCTCTAGAGGAAGCACTAACATTAGCCATCAGAACCAAACCTGAACATGAAAGCAACTGATTCTGTGTATTGTAATAAGAAAAATGCTTGTTATATTTAAAGTATATTTTCCTATTATTTTAAAGCACATACTGTATATATATTTTTGTTGCTTTTTCAGGTCTATATATGGCAGTTGAAGAACACAGATTTGGTGGGCATAGCGTTCATAGATACCCAGATATATGTGCACCAGTTAACCTGCATCAAGAGCCTCATTCTTGCTGCTGACATCTGCAAATCCATTCTTGTGCTGCGGTTTCAAGAAGAGAACAGAACACTCTCTCTGGTTTCCCGGGTAACATTAATAATTTGAAGTTCAAAGTTTTTTATTTAGAAAACTAAACAAATAATGACATTTTATATTTATCTGTACTGTAAATTCTAAAATGAATTGATAACTAGAATTTTTCTAGCAATTTTTGTCTCGTTAAATTTCCTGAAATACGATACAACTTCTTTTTCTTCACAAATTAACTTTTAATTTTGTAATTTGTAAGTATATGTAATACTATAAATGTATTAAATGAGGAGTCAATTTAAAATATTATTTCTCCTGCAGGACTTGAAACCTCTCCAAATCTATGGTATTCAGTATCTTGTGGACAACACTACCCTGGCCTTCATAGCCAGTGATGCTGACAGAAATTTAGTGGTGTTCACATACAATCCAGAATCACATGAGAGTGCCGGTGGAACACGCCTTATAAGGAAGGGAGACTTTCATTTGGGTTCTCATGTAAACTGCTTCTTCAGGTAGGGACACTCACAAAAGAGCTTGACCTTAACTTAATGTGCACAACTTACGATGTTTGGTTAAAGTAAATAACAGGTTTTGTAAAGTTTGTATGAATTTCTCATGTGCTTTTCATCTCGGTTACTTCCTAAGACAGGGTGGTGCTGGTTCTATGATTAGGATTATGCTCTGTCAGGGCAGACTGACATTCTGCTCCAACACAGCAGGAATCTCTCAAAAATTTCTTTTATGTCATATTGGACAATTTTATCAGCATCAAGGGCCCAAGACTTTTCAACATTCTCCTTCTAAACATAAGGGGCATAACAAGCTGACCTCTCATGATGATGTCTTTTGAATCCAAAGAATGCCTGATCAACTGGGCTGTGACTGGTGGTAACACTTATATTTGGTGGTTACAAACATGCGCTTATCATTTACACCCCAAAAGCATTTAGACATGTATTACCAACATGAATGCCAGCCTAATATGCTTAAATCCATCCCATTAGTTGGCCTAAGTAAACCAAAGACTTGACAGTATGGGGCAAGGAGGGTCATGGTTAGATAATGCTGCATGGAAACTATTGTCATAGACTCGCCATTGGAGTAGAGCTACCAGGAATGAGGCATCAGTACACTGTGCTCTCGTAATACGATTTAAATACAGTATATATATATTAATTCTTCTGCAGTTGTGCAGAAGCTTTTTGTATGATAATTTGGTTCTAATCATTGGTGTATTTATTTGATGTGACAATAAATGCATATGTGAAAGTTGAGCTTCTGAAATAAATTGATTAAAAGGTACATCTTTTTGGAAATAAAAAGGGAGTTAAAGAATTATAATCAATGCTTACCACTTAAAAGGGGTAAGGAGGAAACCTCCTTGAGAAGACAGGGGAGTAGCAGAGATGATGATGGCTAAACATTTTAAATGCTACTTGCCCATTTAAAATGTCTCAAACTACACAGCATGAGAGAACGAAAGGTAAACAGCAAATTGTCCACAGCAGTGTATAATTGTGGAATGATTCTGGGTTCTAGAACTGCAGTACTTTAGTCATGTAGTTGCTGACACTCCTTAATTTGAGTGGCTATAATTGTTTCAGAATTAGGTGCAGAGTCGGAGATGTATCTAGTGACCGTCGAGCTGGTCAGAATGTTGAACGACGACACATCACTATGATGGCTACACTAGATGGTTCAGTCGGCTACATTTTACCAGTTAGTGAGAAGACCTATCGAAGATTTTCTATGGTGTATAACCTGTTGGTTCAACACCTCCCTCATATTGCTGGTAAGATGGATTACGGTATATGATAATATGAATGGAAGAGAAATTATAATACACTCGATGCATTTGGGTATCGTGTGATGTTTTCATGCCTATTTTTATCATCTAGATAAGTAAAAGGGGCTCTGCTGGGGTAGCACTCAGGAGGGGTATTTCACTCACTCCTCTTCTTATAAGATGAAAATAATGAGTTTAATATATACAGTTCAAAAGAATAAACATTAAAAACTTTAATCGAATTTAAGAGTTACACATCTATTATTCAGGTACAGTATTCTAAACCATTTCATCTTCCATTTGTTGGTGGGATTTTTTTTGTTGTCATCTTCTAATAAGTAGGTTTGAGGGGCATGGCACACTTAAGTAATTTAAAAATACACACAGCATAGATACTTTTAATTGTACATAAAGTACTACACGTTTTGCAAGTAAGAGGGTTTGGATAGTAAGAGAGAGGAGGAGGAGAGTGGAGTAAAAATGGAAAGGGAACTTGGGGAGAAAGATTGAAAAGATGGAGAAAAGAAGGGATATCTTCAGATGATAATTTTGGGATTGATAGAGAAAAAGCAAAAACTTAAAGTGGGGGGGGGGAGAAACAGAGTGAGTAAAGAGCAAGCTTGGAAAAGAATTGGGGAGTAATTTAAAGAGAGGAGAGCATTATTTCTTTTACAATTTTCATACAATTGTGTATTGTCAGATTTACAAGGATTGGAGATTTGTCATACCTTTCTTGATTGATCTAATGCAATTTAACCGTATCTATTTATTTATTTTTTTCAGGGTTAAATCCAAAAGCTTGTCGCACATTCCAAAGTCGTTATAAGCTCAACACCAATCCGTCCCGTTCTGTTTTGGATGCTGAGCTCATCTGGTCGTTTCTTCACTTGCCTGCTCCAGAGAAGGTTGAGATTGCAAAGAAGATTGGTGCAAAAGTTGATGATATAATTGAAGACTTGATGGAGATTGATCGGATGACTGCTCATTTTTAATTTATTGTATACTGCTGAATTGAAATATATTTTTTCATCATGTGTAATAGCTTACATCTTGAAAGTGTTCACAAACTGTACAGGAAAGTTCAGAGGGACCCAAATATTAATTGTAATATAACTTTAAATTCATAGTGGAGCACTCCTTTCATACGATATACATAAAATCATCACCATTGTTTAGTAATATTGTGTCTGTATCCATTACATAAAGCTGCTTTTATTGGAGACAGGACAGGCTGCTGGAGTAGGAAAATTGATCAACGACAGGTACCTGAAAAAAAAACATGTTCCCTTGGGTTCCTTATAAATACAGAGGAACCCATGTTCCTCTGTGTTTTATATTGTTTCTGAAAATATTCAGTTTTCTAAATAATATGGCCAAAAGTCCATAAGTACAGATTATCGGTACAGTTTTGTTCCCGTTGCCTCTGACACTTTTGGTGCCCGAGTTAAAAGTGCCAAAAGTTTTCCCAAGGATGTGGATTCTAGCCTCATCTAAACAACAAGAGACCAAAAAGCTGCCAGCTATCTTTTCCGGTGCCACAGTGTGGCAATGCAAACCGAAGAGCCTACAAATTGCTTAGTCATGGAACCCAGGACAGAAATATTTCATGACAGCACCCATGTATAGAAAGCAAGAGCTTCATTGCGATTGATATTTTTGCTTTAATACTTATGTGAGAAGATTTTGGTCTTGTGTAGTGGCAGCCAAAGAGGCCAGTATGAGCCTACTCTACCCCCTATCCACCAGTAATGCATATAAGTGAAAAGGCCATTAAAATGCTTATAAGGTGTCAAGAGTTTAGGTTAAGATTCCTAGTAAAATATGCATTTTTAGTCTTCTTTGACAGATAAAACTAATTTTAGTCATGCAAAGACTTCATTGACATAAATTATGAATATTTTAATGAGAAAACCATTAAGCTTCCAGTATACAAGGAGCCCAACACTGGAACAGTCTCTACCACCAGTACACAAGGAGCCCAACACTGGAACAGTATCTACCACCAGTACACAAGGAGCCCAACACTGGAACAGTATCTACCACCAGTACATAAGGAGCCAAGCAATATCAAGAATAGCCCGTGCCACCAATATATAAACAGGCAATCAAAAACACTTCTCACCACTAGTACACAAGCAGCTAGGCACTGTCAGGAACATTCCCCACCGCCAATACATGAGCAAGTTCAGGTTCATGTGCAGTCAGTATTAGAGAAAGGTGCCATTTTCTTCCCAAATACCAAAATTTCTAGTATTGGAAAAATAGTGTAAACTAAACCCCTAGGGCATGGCTTTTGGTGAGGATATTATCAGGCTCGCACTCCAGGGGTATTGTTCCTGGGAATGGTATGTCAAACTATGTATTCAGGGTATTTTTCTTGGGGAGGCTATGTTATGCTTGACCTCCAAGGCATGGTGTTTGGGGAGGGTGTATCAAGCTGGGCCTCCAGGACAGGGTCTTTGGGGAGGGTGTATCAAGCTGGGCCTCCAGGACAGGGTCTTTGGGGAGGGTGTATCAAGCTGGGCCTCCAGGACAGGGTCTTTGGGGAGGGTGTATCAAGCTGGGCCTCCAGGACAGGGTCTTTGGGGAGGGTGTATCAAGCTGGGCCTCCAGGGCAGGGTCTTTGGGGAGGGTGTATCAAGCTGGGCCTCCAGGGCAGGGTCTTTGGGGAGGGTGTATCAAGCTGGGCCTCCAGGGCATGGTCTTTGGGGAGGGTACTGGAACAGTCTCTATGAAACAGGGAACAGGGTATATCAAACTGGGCCTCCAGTTTCATACCAGATACACAAAAACGTTTGCGCAGATGTCATTTGCAAACGTTTTTGTGTTGCCGAGAACTGACTTATGTTCAGGGGATTATATAACATTATAAATGGTGGCGATCTATCTAAATTGAGCAATACGGCTAATACTAGAGAAGCAACATATATACAATATGCGGCCCATGATGCTAGCGTAGTTTAGGGGACTGGGAATGGTTTGACAACATGAGGGCGGGAAGGGGGGGGGGCAGATACTGCCTAGTGATCCCACTGGCTGTCGAGGCGAGTACTGAAAGTATAAACAAAGTGACACTTAATATGTGATGGGGCGAAGCCAATGAGGATAATAATGAAAATAAAAATAATCTATTAACGATGCCACTTTATATATTACAGTAATACGTTTGAAAATAGTAATAGCGAGATAATAAAAGCAACACTGGCAAAATCCTTATTCGTGGCCCTGGGTGGCGCCCAGAGGGTCACGGCTGGGGAAAGTGTCACCCGATCTCTACTTGTGGTTAAAACGATAAATTCCGCATTACACGTTTTTGGTTTTATTAATGACGCTCACGTTTGGGTGTGTGAGCGTGTCTCCTCGTACGTACGTTGTGTGTCCTTGACTCTCTTCCGACCGGATATAATTCGGTTCCTTCCGTGTCCGGTAACGCCCTTTGACCGTCATGCTGGTTAACCGCACTGGGTATTTTTACACGTGCCCTAATCTGTCGTTTATTCATACGTGGGCAGACATTATCTTGTGGGAGTTATGTAATGTAATTACTATGCTCCTAATCACAACACACGAGTAATACATGCATGCACACAAGTACATTAGACTCTACTGTACATGCATTCTGTGGGTCTATATAAGTATACATATAAACGAATCTGGAGATTGAATGCTACTTATCTCAGAGTTGTAAGTAATGAGTTATGAGACACTAAAAAACTAAATCATTTTATTGGAATACAAACATTAACGAGATATGATCACGACATACAAAATATTCAGGAGAATTAGATGAGTAAACCGGGACAAACACTGACATTGGTGCTGTTATTCTTCATCATTTTATTAATTCCGCTAGAATTTACTTACTTAAAATTATCTGTTAGATTAAGGACCTGCCCGAAACGCTACGCGTACTAGTGGCTTTACAAGATTGTAAATACCATGCTATGTATTCTCACGAACCCAATGTACCTTCTTGTATATAAATAAATGCACTCGTGAAGAGCACGGGAAGACAGCTGGAATTGCCTGAATGAGCCAGCATAAATAACTTCAGTGCCAGAGTAGTAGTGAGGGAGAATGAATAGTAGCTAGAGGAACGTGATGAAAGCAATCGATTTCATACATGGGTTCTCTTATCTTCAGATGATTTCAGGGTTAAGTGTCCCCGCGGCCCGGTCTTCGACCAGGCCTCCACCCCCAGGAAGCAGCCCGTGACAGCTGACTAACACCCAGGTACCTATTTACTGCTAGGTAACAGGGGCATCAGGGTGAAAGAAACTGCCCATTGTTTCTCGCAGGCGCCCAGGATCGAACCTGGGACCACAGGATCACGCATCTAGTGTTCTGTCCGCTCAGCCACCGGCTCCCGGCCGGGTTCACACTAAGATATAACAGAATAATAAGGGCTTTGAAACTTGTACACGTTACTTGAGAATTCAGAGGCAGGACCCTAGAGCATATGCTTATCCCTTTTAAACACCTATGGGTTCCAAAAATCATACCTTCATATTTAAGTCTATACAAATATAAAAGTAACTGCAGTCAACTAATCATACACAAAATATATATTTTACAAATGTTTATTAGCATAATTAGTAAATGTAAGATATAAACAATTTGGGAAGAGTAGAGCTCCAATAAGAACCTGAAGCTGTAGTGTTAGTGCATTGCTGTCAGTCTTTATAACCTGTGTATAATATAATAAATTTATATATATATGTATATATATATATATATATATATATATATATATATATATATATATATATATGTCGTACCTAATAGCCAGAACGCACTTCTCAGCCTACTATGCAGGGCCCGATTTGCCTAATAAGCCAAGTTTTCATGAATTATTTGTTTTTCGACTACCTAACCTACCTAACCTAACCTAACCTAACTTTTTCGGCTACCTAACCCAACCTAACCTATAAAGATAGGTTAGGTTAGGTTAGGTAGGGTTGGTTAGGTTCGGTCATATATCTACGTTAATTTTAACTCCAATAAAAAAAAGTTGACCTCATACATAATGAAATGGGTAGCTTTATCATTTCATAAGAAAAAGATTAGAGAAAATATATTAATTCAGGAAAACTTGGCTTATTAGGCAAATCGGGCCTTGCATAGTAGGCTGAGAAGTGCGTTCTGGCTATTAGGTACGACATATATATATATATATATATATATATATATATATATATATATATATATATATATATATATATATATATATATATATATATATATGGCTACATCCTCAATCGTACACGAACATACGTGGTAGTCTAGATTATGTGCATGTTGCTTGATGAGTCTGGTTAAGGCCAGTAACTAGTTGGGTGATCCCGTGTTGCCCTTGGTTAGAGGGGACTTGGACGTGCCATAATTGCAGGCTGCCTTTCACCGACAGTGTAGTCCTATACATACATATATATGCATTAACATGTACTGTAAAGACAAAGACACTAAACCGTTAATTGATCCCCTACTTAATAATTGTAGTTAACTGCAGGTTGCTGTATAAACAAGAACGGTAACAATAAGGAAGTGAATAATGATCCTTTATCATTCTGCAGTAATACAAAATAAGTGTAATATATCAACTCGACTGTATAAACGAGACGAGTCAAGGTGTGATCACGGCATACTTAGTACTCTGGAGGATGATACGAAGGTGGGGTATCCAACATGGGAAAGACTCCGATACGGGGGACATCGTCAGAGGGGAGAGAGATAATATACAAGTTGATTGTTGATCAGATCGTCGCCCAGGTTTGCAATTTGTTTTATTTATTTATTTATATACAATAAGGTACATTGTTTTACTTTTATTATGGCTATTTAATGACTAACCCGTCAGAATTAATTGTTAATCCTGTTAGAATTGCTGTAACTCTGTCAGCATATGGTCCGTTAGCCCTGTCAGCACATGGTGGCAGCCCTGACAGCACATGGTGGTAGCCCTGTCAGCACATGGTGGCAGCCCTGACAGCACATGGTGGTAGCCCTGTCAGCACATGGTAGCAGCCCTGTCAGCACATGGTGGTATCCCTGTCAGCACATGGCGTGGCCCTGTCAGCACATGGTGGTAGCCATGTCAGCACATGGTGGTGGCCCTGTTAGTACATGGTGGTAGCCCTGTCAGCACATGGTGGCAGCCCTGACATCACATGGTGGTAGCCCTGTCAGCACATGGTGGCAGCCCTGACAGCACATGGTGGCAGCCCTGACATCACATGGTGGAAGCCGACAGGACAGTATAGAGCCATCAAAGCCAGTAACGCCGTTAATGGTCACATTCCGAGGTGTGATGCACGACTATGGTCTCCACTGTTGTATTGTGCGTCTTAATAATGATAATCCACGAACACAATGTGAGTAAACAACAGTTTTCTTAACATTTTCCTGTTTGTTTATTTTGATCAGGTGACGCCTCCTGCGGCGCCTTCATATGCACGCTTCGAGCGTCTGTAGACATGTTTTATTTCCGTATGTACCTGAGGGCCACTAACATTAGTGGCCTCGACGAGGACAGGAAGCCGATGGCTTGTCAATGGTCCCCACATTTGTCTTGATGTTGTTTTCTCAAGTTGAATGTTAAAATTCAGTAGTTTTGGCGTTTACGGCTTCGGCGGGTACAGCGGTTCCATGGGTTTATAACCCGGTGGGATATAATTATAGCATTACGGGCTATTAATTTATATCCGTGCCACTTTATCAATCTTTATCAATCAATTATAGCACCTCATTCTCTAAAATGGTAGAACCTACAGCTACTACGAATGGATTGTACAAAGTATTGAGCGCTGTATGTCAAACAAGTTCATGGTTTGCGCTACTGGAATGATAAAGGCATAACAAATTAAACGAGAGTAAAATATACCTAGCCTGTAATACCTAATATATGTAATCTTAGACCAAATTTAATTATTTTCCATTACGAAATTTATACTACAACACTTAGATTTTTTTTAGGCGCTTCAGACCATATTTTGCACTTCCAATCATAATAACTATAGGTACTATGATTCCATCCATAATAACTATAGGTACTATCATTCCAATCATAATTATAGGTACTATCATTCCAATCATAATAACTATAGGTACTATCATTCCAATCATAATAACTATAGGTACTATCATTCCACACAATAACTACCGGCGCATGGTCCCCAGTTGGTCGTCTGGTCGTGCCCAATAAGCACCTGCAGCGACGAATAGCAGCTGTTGAAATTATAGTATCGGGTAGTAATGATTATTAGCATTAATGCTGTTTTTGTTATGTGAACTGCATAATATAGAGAGTTACGATTAAGAATGAGAATAAAGTGAGCGATTCTCCTAACAGTGTTTACTCGTCTCTGTAAAGAAAATGAACTGAAAGTGCAAGGGGACACGTGAATAACTTGCTTCCCACTCTGGGAGGAGCAACCTGTCCTCCTACAAAGAAAGTCGCATTTCACTCGTATGCGTTACATAAGGCCAAAAATTGTCGTAACAGAAAATGGAAGCAGCTCGCGAAAGTGACGTACTATCCAGTTTTCTGTTTTGGTACCTCTAGTAGGTTAGGAGAGGACACTAAACTGATCGTTTTTTTGACGTTTGGGAACCTTTGGAGGACGGGCTAATGGGAGAGGAACCATGTTAGGTTTGTCGAGGTTCCCCAAGGCAAACTACTGAACAACTCTCTATATGTTCCTCTGCCGACAAGTCTAGCCTACGTCTCCCCCAACCTTTAACACCTTGCCTGTCTTCCTTTGTCCCTCAGAATTTCATATCCCTTTACTGTCCCTCCCCTAATTAATTTTATTTTATCACACCCCTTTCCCATCTTTCTCTTTTTACTTCTTTCGCCCTTGCCTCCTTGTCACCCCGCCACTCTCCCCTAACGTGCTTCACCCTCTCCATGCTGACTGACCCACTGCTCCAGAAACACATGAGTGGCGGTAAGCGTCAATCATCATCATTATACTCAGGTGAGATTATTACCTTAGAGTTAAAATTATTATTAGTTATTATGTGCTAGTGTGTGTGAGGGACAAGGGAAGGAAGCAAGTGTGGGAAGGGAAGGGAAGAGTGATGGGAAGGGAAAAGTGTGTGAGGGGAAGGAAAGGGGGTGTGAGGGGAAGGGAAAGGTGTGTGAGGGGAAGGGAAGGAGGGGTGTGAGGGGAAGGGAACGTAACAATAGAGGCTGTAAATCCATGTATTTTGATACTTCCTCTGAATTTATTTCCCTCCCTATTCTTGTATCATTGGTAAATTTCCTAATGATGCTGTTCATTCATAAGTCTAAGTCGATTTTATACATATAATAAACAATAGAAGCCTCAGTGGTACCTTGTGGTACTTCACTTCCAATTTTTCCCCACTCCTATCAAGGCTCCAAATCCTCGGTTATCTTAACAATTTGTTTCCTGTATGGCAAGTATGCCTTCATCCAGTTTGAGAGGTCCTCTCTCATACCCTGTGGATCTACTTGCCCTGTATGGCAAGTATGCCTTCATCCAGTTTGAGAGGTCCTCTCTCATACCCTGTGGATCTACTTGCCCTGTATGGCAAGTATGCCTTCATCCAGTTTGAGAGGTCCTCTCTCATACCCTGTGGATCTACTTGCCTTGTAAATCTTTCAAGCTGAAGTGTTTAAAGCTTCGCTAAAATCTGGGTTTATAATATTGCATCCGTAATCCATTCTTCACGAAATGACCTTTGTCAGGGATATCAAATGTTTATATTGAATTCTTACGTAAATACCAACTCCTCTATGGGTTACAACACACTGGAACCTATAAAGATACTGTTTCATTGTTCTCATACCAGTCTCCAGCTGCCTACATAACACTCCCGCATGACATATTACACAATAATAATCATTATCACTATTTATAAAAACTTCAAATATTAGTTTCAACCTCACATCTTCAAGTTCAAGTAAGTTTATTGAGACAATAAGATACATCTCAAAAAGGATAGAGTAGCTTAGGCTATTTCTATCCTCCTCTTCACATCTTTATGAACATGATAATGTTGATATCCTTGCTAAGCTTGCAGCAAATAAAAATAATGCTGAACATAATCTTGGGCTATCAAATAGAACCCTAAAACGTGTCAATAGACGAGAACTATTAGATAAATTTGAGGAAAGCAAAAGAGTGCACACAGGAACTAGCAGATCCATTGATTATCACTGCAATGTGTCAAACAAAACATAGCATTTGTATGGGGCAAGTAACAAAGTAGGATGACAGATGTCACATCTCGAATACTACTTTGCTACAATTAAGTGTATTTGACAGTTGAGCTTGTATGGGAATCTAGATGAAGATGGCATACTTTAAAAATATGTAATAAATTTAAACCGGTTCGGTTTCAAACTTTTTTGACTAGTTGTATATGAAATTGGCTTCACCTGGTCCAAGTCTCAGCATCGTAGCATAAGTAGGGAGAAAAATATTGAATTATGTGTCAAAAAATTTCCAAAATGTTCAAAAATTAACATCAAACACAAGTGTCAACTGAAATCATGTCTATGACTCTAAGCTATCACAATATCATATAATAAACTATTTTAATAATTAGTTTTATCCCTCAAAAATAGCTAAACAAAAATTATTACAATTTGTTTTATTTTTTCTTTAATTTTTTCTCATTTTTTATCGGCCGATTTGCATGAAACTTATGCATCTTACTGAACGTATGCCTGTATGTAAGGGTACTAATTTTGGAGTAAATTGGTTGATGTCAACCTCAGCCACAGGTGGCAGAATCTTTGACTTCATTTATAGTCAAGTAACATAAAAGTGCTTCTACTCTTTCATTTTTTATTTACGCCTTATATGTACAGTTTATGTCTCTACAATCGTTCAAAGATACGTTATTTCTAAGTTCATTTATTGATTTATAAATATTTATAAAAATGATATATTTGCATAAATTTTGGGGGAACTTTGACTATTTGTATTAGTAAAATAAACATATTTTGGAAAAATCCGCAAGGAAAAAAATCCTTTATCATATGCTAATGTGATAAATGGGTGTCATAAAAATGATTTAATTTAAAACTTGTGGTTGTTGAAGCTTTTTGAAAATGTGTAAAATTCCTTGAAAAAATGTGTATTTTTGTTCTCCCTTTCTGTTTAGGCTGCGATACTGAATCTTGGAACAGTTGCAGACCTTTTCATATACACCTATTCAAAAAAGTTTGGTTGACATTGAACAACTTTTAATATCCTAAGTTATGCCCCCCTGAAGTGAAGTATAGTGTGTGGACAAAGGCAAAGACACTCTCGAGCACTACATTTTTTACACTGTAAATATTGAGTCATTTAAAAATAAAAATAAACATACGTTTCATGGAATTGCAAATCATTATATTATAATTAATAAAATATCTGAAATACTTGCAATGCATCCATATTTTGCATATAGTAGATAAATAACGTATGTATGTTGAATGTACGGGTAGTGACTTAAAATAATGTATAAACTAAAATAATAACCTATAATCCTGTGAAAACCGGTCTTGAAATCTAGAGGTTTACCTCCAATGTATATTAATATATTGTGCGCTCAGACATGCCTCGCTGTGTCTCGGACAGTGGAGGTTAGGCAAATCATTGGGTACATTGCGTCCTCGGAGAAGACCATGGTCTTAATTGTTTGAAAAAAAAGGAGTAATATTTCCTTTGTTCATGATAGGGTAATTATATTCTCCGTGCGTGTTGTGTTGTGTGCGAAATGTCTTGGTAAAGGGGAAATGTATGTTACTCTTCCACAATAATCTCACTCACTCTCGTAATCACCAGTCCCCCTTAACCTCTGCAGACTGTCAGCATCAGCACCAAGTCTGACCTCTCCAACTGTCAGCCACAGAGCCTCTATCATTTACCTTCACACTGTAACTCGGTGATACAGTGCACTTACATTGATATTCTCGTGGAGGAAAAAACTGTTATCAGTGAGTGGTTTCTTTCATAAAGTGTGCCTGCATAAGTTGCATCACCCAGCAGTGTTGCAAGCCGCGGGGGTGTGGAGGACGCTCACTGCATCTGGGATACCATTCATTCTTCTCACATAAGAGTCATGGTTGTAAACGCTTGTACAAAACTAGTTTAGTCATTTATTATTTATTTTGCATCCCATACCTATCCTGTGGACGGCGGTGGAAAAGATTTCAGATACACAATTATTTTTTGCAAAGCCACTGATGTTTTGATTTTTAAGCTTTACATACAAAGACCCCTAGCAGGCAGAAAGGTTTAACAATTTAAAAAAAAATGTTTATAAACGCAACAGGGTCATAAAATGCTTTAATTTTCCTGATTGTTTAAAAAAACGCATAAAACCCGCTGCCGGAACGCTCATCATCAAACCGTGTTAACCCATTTTCCCTTACTGTCACGCACCCATTTTCTATGACCCAATTGCGCTGATAAAAACTAGTCTGAGGAAGCCAGGTCATGACGGCTGTCAGGACATGTGCATGGCTGGCTACCCAGCATGGAGGTGAAGGTCATGGTCGTGTCCACGAGTCTTCACGCGTGTGGTGAGTTGCATTTTGTTGTTATAACCAACGCCCGACTTTAGACGCCATTAGCCTATATTTGTTGTTGCGTTCGCGGAATCTTTGTTTACGTTCGTGACGAAACGAGGTTAAGGTATACAGGTGAAGAGAATGAGGCGAGGGTATAGGTGGAACAGGTGGACTTGGGGACTAGGGTGAGGGGTGGCTGGTGATGGAGGGTTTGGGTGGACGATGGGAGGGAGGATGAGAAGGTGGGTAGGTAGATTCTGGATGGGTGGGGGTGGTAACACGCTGGACGCTAGTGAAGGGACGGGTGAGATGGAAGTTGGAGATGTTTCGGAAGAGAAGAAAGTGCACAGGTGGAGATTACCAAATATATCTATAGATATTGATATATCATCTACTGCGTTGTGGTTCGAACAAAAATCGTCAGTGAAGCACATGTTTCTTAACTGTTCGAATGCCATCAGTTGTAAGTCGTGTGTAAACCGTTTTTCATTCATAAACAGGGGGAATTTGGCGGGTGCATGGATTGGATTTTGGGTCTTTGTTTAGAGGACGGGTTGCGCGAAAGTGACGTACTGTCTCGTTTTCTGTTTTGGGTCCTCGGGTATGTTAGGAGAGAAGACTTTAAATTGACAGTTTTCTTGACGGTGGGTACTCAGCCCGTCCTCCAAACAAAGATCCAAAAGTGATTCCATGCACCCGCCAAACCCCCTGTTTATGAATGAAAAGCGGTTTACACACGACTCACAACTGCTGACGTTCGAACATATCCGGAACAAGTGCTTCACTGACGAATTTTGTTCGAATCACAACGCTATAAATGCCTCACCCACGTACTACAAATACAAATAATCGCCAACAGAACCTAAACACTTAACCTAACCTATCCCTATATATACACAATATGCTAATATATTATAATATTAATTTATACTTGCGAAAATTCCCGTTTTGAATGAACAGCATGTAAAAATTGATGAATGCGTCTGTGGGGTTGACCGCTGAATGTAATGGACTTCAGTCGAGGACGGGTTGCTATACATTTATTTTTCAAGGAAGCACCGGAACTTTTACCCTGTAATATATCAAAATAAGGATGCATTTCACGTGAAGACCAATGACAATAATGGCAAAATACAAAATATAACGCAATACTCAGTACGCAAATTTGTTAAGGAAGCGTTACCTTGAGGTTACCTTGAGGTGCTTCCGGGGCTTAGCGTCCCCGCGGCCCGGTCGTCGACCAGGCCTCCTGGTTGCTGGACTGATCAACCAGGCTGTTGGACGCGGCTGCTCGCAGCCTAACGTATGGCGTAGCCTCATATGTTGATTATAATAATGTTCCTCCCTCTTGCGTGTTGCTTGGAGGGTCGTCAGAAACCAGGTCAGGTCACTTAAATGAGGTAAAGAGTTTTTTTTTGTGTGTGGCTGTTATATTTATTTGTGTTTCTGGTCTAGATGATTCATTATGATTAAGCTTGTTATCAAAACAGTAAGTTAAATATCAAGGAAGAGGAGGGAGGGGGGGGGGGGTCTGACACCTGCCTGGCCTGCTGTGGATGTTATTCTTTGATGTCGCAGCAGAAGTTATTGACGCTGTTGACCCCATCTGGCAATATATTTCATAGCTTAATACCGTCTGACTACACCTAGCATTATATAACGCCATTTGGCATTATATAACGCCACCTAGCGTTATATATAACACCACCTAGCATTATATAACACCTGACATTATATAATTCCACTTAATACACCTAGAGACTTGAGTTATATTTATTTTTTTTAAATGATTTAGCATTATTATAAAATGTTTAGCGGCACTACTTCACTCAGGTCAGTGTACAACCGGCAGGTATTTTGACCATACTCGTACCTCAGACCTGAAGTTGAACTTTGTCCAGTTAAATATTTAAGTTGAAATCAAGGGCAAAGAAGAGCAAGCAGACGAGTCATGGGTACCGTGATCAGCATGTTCATCACAGTTCATTTGTTCATTTCCTTGGAAACGCAAACAATAGCTTCAATTCGAGCAATGTGCTATTAATTACGAATATTCAAACACAGGGTTGGGATAGAAATTGGCAGCAAGAACCAAATGGTTGTGCAGCCAGGATGAGGTAGCCTATCAACATGCAATGACAACGTTATCTCAACTCGAAATAGAAACTAAAACTCCCTGACTTGGGGTGTGGACGGTAGAGCGACGGTCTCGCTTCATGCAGGTCGGCGTTCAATCCCCGACCGTCCAAGTGGTTAGGCACCATTCCTTCCCTCCGTCACATCCCAAATTCTTATCCTGACCTCTTCCAGGTGCTATAAAGTCGTAATGGCTTGGCGCTTTCCCCCGATAATTTCTCCTCTCAGGAAGATTCGATCTCTAGCATATCTAACTGACAGTCTAGAATAAAACTACATCGTACCCCATATTGGTAAAAGCTAGCAGGTATAGTTTGTGTTCACTAGCTAAATGAACTATGGGGTTCAGTTGCTGGACGTGTGCCTCTGTAACCCTTTTAACCACCGCCTACAGGATGGATATGGAGTGCATAATTCGTGAATAGTTAACTAGCCTAGCGGTCTACGGTTAAGCCGGCTAAAACTGAGTTGGTAGATGTTTAGTGAGTCCGCTGGTCACCTTTAATACTGTGTGTTCTCCGAACTTATTTGGTACGGGAGGAGGAGGAGGAGGTGGCGGCGCGGTAACCCACATACCGTCCAGTATTGAACGGTTATGTTGAAGTGCAGCCCACACTGATACCCAGGGGCACGGGGCACCACTAGGTGACCCATGAGACCGTCACCACCACCACTCCTCCTACCACCGTCACTGTCACCACTCTTACCATCATCACTCACACCTCTCTACCACCGTCACAATTCATACCACCACCATATAGGTTTATTCCACCTCCTTATAACAACCAATTCCACCACCACATTATTCTTCAGGCCATTACTAACATCAACACCCAACCACCATCGTCCTTGAACTTGAATAATGTGTCCAACTTCCAACTGACCTACTTCCGGCACCCGTGTCTGGTGGTGGTGGTGGTGGTGGTGGTGGTGGTGGGGACAATGGGAGGGGTGGTAATGATTGTGGTCGACTGGTTGGTGCTGGTACTGGTGTTGGTAGTAGGCCAGATGCTGCTAGTGGCGCTTTGTTAACACTGATAGATTGATTAGAGCTTCTTTTTTGTTAACTTCTCTGGCGGTCGAGTTCTCTGGCATATCTGCCTTTGAAAGTTGTGGATGGAGGTGGCTTCCATGACTTCCTTT